AAAGTCTTGGAAATTTTATTTTTGAGGAGGAAATGAGGAATGATTGAACTGAGGAGAGGATTTTAAATTTTGTTAGAAAAAAATTTTTTGGGAGGCCAAGAATGACCCCCCCTCTTCCAGAATAGTCTCCTCTACTTAACTACCGTTCCTAGCCTATATAAATTTAATTAAAAAAAATTTAAAATTTTTAATCAATAAATGATAAAAAAATTATTGGCTTTTCCCCTCTCGCGCATTCATTTTTCTATTCGATTTTTTTTCTCTCCATCGATTTGAGGTCATTTCTAACTACACACATATTTCTCTTCCCCTTCATTTACCCTTAACTTTTCCCAACCTTTTTCTGCTTTATTAAAGGTTATGGAATATTTAATTTGAACAAAACATTAAAACAAACAAACTTAAAACAAATTTGAAACAAAACAAGGCAAACAAACTTAAAAACATATAAAAGCAACTCAAATAAACTTGAAAACAAACAAACTTAAAAATAAACTTGAAATGAACTTAAACACCTAAAACAAACTTTAAAACAAACAAACTTGAAAATAAACTTAAAAACATGTTCTAAATTAAATCATTTAAAACCAACTTTAAAATAAACTTGAAAAACAAACTTGCTAATATTAATTAAATAAACTTGAATATTAATTTATTTTTGCATGTTACTTTAATTTTTTTGCAAAATTAATCTTATAAAATTTAATAAAAAAATTTTTTAATAGAAAAATTAATTTTTCTCATTTAATCTTTTGATTTTTAATAATTTAAATTTTGCTATTTGTAATTAAAAAACATTAAAAGCCAAAAATGACACAACAAAAAAAAGACATTTTTAATTTACACCTTCATTATTTTCTCTCAACTCTTTTTTTAATTAAAGCTATAATTTTTAATTTAATTTGTAGTTATAATTTTGCAACAAAACATATAATTATTTAAATAAACCTAAGTTTTATTAATAAAAACTTGAATTTATTTCCGAGTTTATTTCCAAGTTTATTTTCAAGTTTATTTATTTAACAAAAACTTGAAAACCTAAAAATAAACTTGAAAACATTATAAAACTTGAAAACTTGTTTTAAATAAACTTGGTCGAACAAGTTTATTTAAAAGTTTTATTTTCTTTTTATGTTTAATTTCAAGTTTATTTTTTTATTAATACCTCAAACTATGTTAAATTAATCAATAAAATTTGCAGCTGTTTAAAAAGGTAAAGCAAAACCTAAAATGGAAAAAGTTTTAAACGTGTCTATTTTGGTTTATTTCTTATTTATTTTAATTCTGATTATTTAATTAAATTAATTTGTGCAACTATTATCCGCAAAAATAGTTTTCCCAAAAAAGTGTTATTTTATAATCATAAGATCAATAGTAGATGGAATTTTATCTTTTTAAATGTGAAAATAAAAATTATTTATGATAGGAGCCGCTGCACAGGTATAAAAGTACTTATTGTTAGCTATATTAAATTTGCGGATAATAGTTGCGGACTTATTATTTTATATAAAACTTGAAAATAAATAATTAAACTTGAACTTAAAATAAACTTGAAAAAAAATAAACTTGAATTTATAAAACTTGGAAACTAAAAAATAAACTTGGATTTAAACAAGTTTATTTTTTGTTTATATTTTTATTCAAATTTTAAGTTTATTTTCAAGTTTAAACTTAAACAGGAAAAATAAACTTGAATTAAAACTTGACACCCTATAATTTAATTTTTAAATTTATTTTCTCCTTCTAGACTTTTTAAATTTAAAAAATTTTAATATTAATTTTTTCATTCTTTTTTATAATTCACAATATTATCAAATTCTTTCCTTGTTTTTCATTTTCTTTAATCTTTACTTTTTAAAAAATGTAATCCTTTACGCGTTACGGCGCTTAAATTCTCGTTGCAAACTTTAAAGTGTATATTGGCAACAGATATAATAAATGGAAATTTTATTTTAATATTTTACCCATACATACTATAAAATAATGCAAAAACCATTTTCTCGCTTCGTACAATTCTTAAAAACTAAAAATAATTTGCTTCAAGTTTTAATTAAAAATTTAATTAAACTTGAAGCATTTTCTCAAGTTTTATTTATTTTCAAGCTGATTCAAGTTTTAATAATTCCCATCAAGTTTGTAAAAGTATCAAGTTTGTAAAACTTATCCAAGTTTTGAAGAAACTTGAAACATTAAAAGTTTCTCTTTAACTCTTTTTGTACTTGAGTTGAGAAGTGGCCTAAGGAAAAAATTTTTTAAGCCTTAAAATTTTTTTTCTTTTTTGCTTCAGAAATACCTTTTTATAATTTTTTCAGAATCTAATTTTCTGAAAATAATTTTTTCTAACCTTTCATTGAAAGTCACACCTTTCTTTCTCTAACACACTCACACACATGTCTTTCCCCAATTTCACCTCTTCACCTTCTTCCTCATTGCTGCCACGAGAAAATAAATTTTTATTTTACATATTTTATTATAAGAAAATTTAAATAAAAAATCGTCTAGAAAATAAAGAATAAAAATTTTTTAAATTTTATTTTTAAATTTTATCTTTTAATTTATCCTCAATCATTTTCCTTCTTGTTCGGTTAGTCCCCCCCACTTTTCCTCAATTACCATTTTATTTTTTTTATTTTTTATTTTTCTCAAAATCCAATTTTAATTAATCTGTCTGTCGCTTTTAATCCGTAAAATTAATCAACTTTTTTTTGTGGTTACTTTTGAGTGTGTAATTAATTATATCCAATTTCCGGTAATTTTGTCTCTCTCCGTGTCGTTACTACATTTACAAAAAAAAATTTTTTTTAATTTTTCTTTCCGAAAGGATTAAATACAAACTCTTAAGAATACTTTAAAATTAAAAAAAGTATTTGTAAAAAAATCTTTTAATTAATAAGCTTTACAACCCTTCTCTCGGTGGTGCGTGTTATGTAGCCTCCCCCATTCCAATTATTAAAGGCGATAATAAAAAAAATTATTATTGGGCTTCCAATTAAATTAAAAATAAATTAATTTCATTTTCTTTAACTAAAAAAGTTTTCTTCCACTAAAATAAAAAAATAAAATAACAATTAAATAAAATATGTTCGTGTTTATTGAACGCTCTCTCCGCGCATATTCCAAAAAATAAAAAAAAACAAAAAAAGCAAGAATTAAGAAGCATACAATTTTTGTAAAAATACTAGCCAATTAATTTATAATTTAAGTTAGGTACTAATTAAAAAAAATTTTTTTTTAATTTTTTTAAAGAAATTGAGTGTGAATTTGTATCTTAAAGTACGTCAAGTTTTACGTAATTTTCTTTTACTTTTATTAAAGTTTTTTTTAAAAAAAATTATTGTCGTCATTTAAATATTTAAATAGACATATTCGCTAAATATTAAAATTTTTCTTTAAACTTAAACTGAATTTTTAAATAAATATTTAAGAAGAAATGTTGATACTGCCAAATATTTTATCCCGGTACATAGTATATAAATACAGAAAAGTTTTATTCCTTAAGTTTGCAAACTTAAGTGTCTGTTAAAACTTTAAAAAAACTTAAGTCTTAATCTTAAAACTTAATTCTTGTTTAAACTTAAGTTCTTAAGTTTTTGCAATTTAAAATAAGTTTTAAGTTTTGCAAGTTTATTAAGTTTGCAAACTTAAATTGTTCAAAACAAGTTTATTTAAATGTTTTTTTACAATTTGTAAAATGTTTTTACAATCCAAGTTTATTAATACAAGAAAAACATGCTTATTTTAAAACTTGAAGCAATTCTTTATTAAAATGTTTATCAAATAATTGTAAAAGCTAGTCTCTTAATTCTATAAATAAAATTTTCTATTTCCATTGTTTTTGTTTTTTAGTAGCTAGTTTGTGTTCGTTAAATTTTACAATTATTATTCTTTTAAACACGTGTTTTTCTTTTAATTTTCTGTAGCTTGTTTCATGGTCTTTTTGGTCCGATTTTTTATTTTTAAGGCTTCAAAAAAATTTTTTTAATAATGCAGAAATTGTAAAAGCTAGATTTTCTCATTTAATTGCTAATTTTAATGTAACTATAAATTTAAATAAAAATAATATTCTAAATTTGCATAAAAGATTTTTACAAAATTAAACAAAAATTTATTTTAAAGCAATTTTATTTTTGAAGGAAGTTTATTTTAAATTTGAAACAATTTTTGAATTTTATTAAAACTCGAAACAAGTTTTGTGTTTTATTAAAACTCGAAACAAGTTTTGTGTTTTATTAAAACTTGAAACAAATTGTAAAAACATTCAAACCTAAAATAAACTTGTTTTAAAACTTGTTTTAAATAAACTTGTTTTTCTCTTTCTAATACAAGAAAAACAAGTTTATTTTAAGTTTGAATGTTTTTACAATTTGTTTCAAGTTCTAATAAAATATAAAACTTGTTTTAAAACTTGAAACAACTTTAAATGTTTTTCTTAAAAATTAAAACATGTTCTGAATTGTTTTTTTTATTTTATCATATGAGAGTCTATTTGTTTGCCTTCCCTTTTTTATACAATAAAATCTATTAATACGTAATACACGTAATTAAATTATTATTTTTGATTTATTGATTTTCTAAATTTATTTAAAAAAATTTTTTAATTTTTTAAAATTTAATATTTTAGTTTGTATAGTTTATTTGTAGTATATTTCTTATTTTGCTCTATTTTGCTAGCTGTTTTGGATATTATTTAGAAATTTATCGAGATGAGTGTTTTGGATTTGTATTTCAAAGAAATCGCATATGGAAATAAGGTTATAAAAAATATTTAATTTAAACTTGCGGATAATATTTGCGGACTTTTGTGTTTCATTAAAACTTGAATTAAAACATGAAAAATAAACTTTAAATAAAACAATAAAAATAACTTGAATTAAAACATGAGTATAAAACTTGTTTTAAAACTTTAATAAAAACATCAAAACAAAAAATAAACTTTAAATAAAACGTTAAAATAAACTTGAAAAACTTGACATGTTCAGATAGTTTACGAAGAAACGTTAATGCAACAACAACAATATTTATGCAACAACATCATTCAACAACAACATTTAATTAACAACAACAATGTTTTTAGGCCTCAACAACAACAAAACATCCAACAAAACATCCAACAAAACTTCCAACAAAACTTCCAACAAAACATCCACCAAAACATCCAACAAAACTTCCAACAAAACATCCACCAAAACATCCAACAAAACATCCAACATTCTTCTTTTTCCAATGCTACAAACAATAATATTCATTCATTTCCCACCTCAAATTCAATTTTTTCTTCACTGCCTCCAAATAATTATTTTTCAACGACCTCCAACAAATCTCAAAATTTTTCTCAGACTCAAAAATACTCTCCTCCTTTTAAGCAACAATGTCCTCCTCCTCAACCTCCAACTATGTTTGACCCATTCGCAGCAGCTGCAGCAAATTTTATGCAACATTTCACTCAAAATACTAATCAACAAGTGCAATCAACGCCTTCCGCATTATTTAATACTCAACACAACAATTCTCTGCAATTCCAACCAACTAGAGAAGTTTTGCCGATGAATTTTAATAATTTTGTGTTTTCGGTGAGTTTATTAAAATGTTTTACAAATTGATTTTACAACCTTTTTTTAAACAAGTTGCAAAACAAGTTTGTTTTACAACTTTTTCAAACTTGTTTTCAAACTTGTTTATAAACAAGTTCTACTGTAATAAAAACATTTTTACAACCTTTTTTAAAACAAGTTGCAAAACAAGTTTAATTTAGAACTTTTTCAAACTTATTTTATAAACTTATTTTTCGTGCAAACTTGTTTTTTATGCAATTGTTTTACAAACTTGTCCCCTATAGAAACAAGTTTTACAACTTGTTTCTGATATAACATTACAACTACCATTAAATGTTGTAATTTTTTCAAACTTGTTTTTCTCTAATAATTTTATAATGTTTTTACAATCTCTAACCCATTTTTAATTTTAACAGCAATTTGGAGCCGATTTCTCTCCCAGTCCTTCCCATGTTTCTTTAAATTCAGCAGGAATATCTGCTGTCGACAGTTCATCATCTTCTGGTATTCCTTCATCGCCTGATGATTCTTCGTGTTCTTTAGACGCTGAAATATTAATTTTAAAGGAATTTAGGAAGAATAAAGAAGATTTTCAATCTAAACATGGGAGAGGTGAATGGCAGAGTGTAAATAACGGAGAAATATTTCCTGATGAACAAAAGCTTCTTGAAAATTTAAAAGTGAATTTTTAAAGAATTTTTATTTTAACTAAACTAAAAATTAATTTAAAAATAAAAAAATTTTAGGAGAAAACAAAAACCAGAATAAACGAAAATACACCGACTATTCAACCAGAACAGCCTTGTTTTTCTTCGTCTAATTCTTCAAATTCCCAAGAACAAGAGATTATAATTATTGAATATGATAAAAATGAATTAGATAACCAAATTGAATTTATTAGGGAAGATAAAAAAGAAGCCGAAAAAGAAGAAGAAAAAAGGTCGATACAAAATGAGATTGAAATATTTCCCGTTGAGGATGTTGAAAATTTAACGGTAAATTTAATTAAAATAAAACTGAAATACAAAAAATCAGAATTTTTAAAAATGAAAATAAAACACAAAAATCGGAAAGTGTCAGAAGAAAATACAAAAGCACAAAAATCAGAATTAAAAAAATAAAATACAAAAACCAGAAATATTAACTTTAAAACAAATTACAAAAACATAAAATACAAACAAAACACAAAAACCAGAATTATTATTTAACAAAAAATACAAAAATCAGAATTTTAGAAATAAAACACAAAAATCAGAACATTAAATAAAACACAAAAATCAGAATCATTATTAAATAAAAATACAAAGACCAGAATTATTATTTAACAAAAAATACAAAAATTAGAATATTTATTTTAAATTTCAGTTAAACACAAAAACAACAGAAATCAACGAAGAAAAAGAAGAGGACAACACTTCAACCTCTTCATTAGACTTTCCGTGTTCTTCGTCAAATAATAACAATGATTCTTCAATTCCTTTAGAAGAAGAAGAAGAGGAGATTGGAATAAATAAATATGAAGAAAGTATAATTTCTTCTTGTGATGATACCCAAATAAATTTAGATAAAAAAGAGGATTTAATTGAGGAAGAAGATAATGACCAATGTAACCAACAAAATTTACAAAAACATAAAAATGGGAAGGTTCCTTGTCGATGGGTTAATTGTAAAGAAATGTTTTGTGACGAGGATGGGCTATATGATCATATAATTTCGGTGAATATTTATTTAATTTATCAGAATAACGAGAAAATACAAATACCAGAATTTCAGAAAATACAAAAACCAGAATTTCAAAAACACAAAAATCAGAATATCAATAAATATAAAAATCAGAATTTTAGAAAAACAAAAACCAGAATTTCAGAAAACACAAAAATCAGAATATCAAAAATACAAAAACCAGAATAACAAGAAAATACAAATACCAGAATTTCTAGAAATATAAAAACCAGAATTCCTGAAAAATACAAAAACCAGAATTAATTTATTTTAATTTCTAGGCACATATTGATACCCTAACAAAATGGGTTCTTGCTGAACAACGCGAAATTGAAAAACAACAAAAGAGTGGTGGGATTAAGCGGCGAAGATGTGGAAGTTTTATTTCTATAGAAAACACAAAAGAGCGTTTTCGTTGTCAATGGTAGAAAAAAATTTTTTTTAATTTTTCAAAAAAAAATATTTTTTAAAGGCGTAAATGTGAACAATTTCCTCGTCGCGGGGATGCCCAAAAGAAGCTAGATTGGTTACTTAACCATTTAGTTGTCAGGCACGCTCCAAAATCTCGCCCTCACAAGTGTTTGTTTGAGGGGTGTTCTCTCCGTTTTTCCAAAGTGGGGACTTTGAGAGATCATATTCGTTGTGCCCACAATGACAACAATAATAAACAGAATGGGAAAAAATTGTTGGAAGAAAATACTGTCAAAATTTCGTGTTTCGAGTTTCGCCCACTTGTTCATTTTCCTTCTGGTTTGTCTTTAAGGGAAAAATTTTTAAAAATTATAATTAATAGTAAGTGACTGTATTGATTCCAGAACAATTGATTGGGCTAGAAACGAAATGTTGAAAACTAAAAATATAAAAAATCAACAACAATCGACTTTTAAAACTAGTAAAGTAAGGGCAAGAATATTGCGTGACAGGAGGAGAATTGTTAAAACAAAAGAAGAGGATATTAAAATAAAAACAGAACAAGTTACAAACATTGTTGATGAGGTGAGAGAAAAACAAGTTGGAATAAATTAAAATTAAACTTTCCGGAAAATACAAATTCTGATTATTTTTCGTAAAACACAAATTCTGATTTAATAGAGATTCTGATTTTTTCCGAAAAATACAAATTCTGATTTTTTCTTTCCGGAAATTGTAAAATACAATTTCTGATTACTTCCGAAAAACACAAATTCTGATTTTTTCTTTCCAGGAATTGTAAAATACAAATTCTGATTCCTCCCAGAATTTACAAATTTTGATTTTATTTTTTCCGGAAATGTAATTGTAAATTCTGATTTTTTTCTGGGAAAATACAAATTCTGATTATTACAAATTCTGATAATTTTCCGAAAATACAATTGTAATTTCTGATTTTTTCTGGGAAAATACAAATTCTGACTATTTCCGGTTGTAATTTCCTCTAATTATCGAAATTACAATTTGTAAAAATATAAAACCTAAAACTTTACAATTTCAGAATATTATTCTACCTAAGAGAATGACAATTAACGAAACAACATTTCACCTAAAAAATATTTTTAGACGGAAGTGTTTTGCAACGTGACTAAAACATATTTAAAAAAGGATGCCATATTTGTAGTTTATTTTATGGTTAGAATATTTTAAAAATTATTTTAGAGGACTTGATTATTTAAATTAAAATGTTGACCTCGCTAGCTATTTTTAAATATTGACCTCTCCTTCTAATATTTTTACTCATTTTTATACATAGAACCTCGTTATATGATACATACACCCTTGGTGTAATACCTCATTTAATAACACCGTCTTTAAGTCTAGTTATAGGGTTGCCGTTTTCAGTTCGAGCCGACGTTCGGTGCATTTTTTCGAGCTTGGTTTTTTTCGATTCGGTTCGTTTTCGAGCTGAAAAGCCTTGGCTCGCTCAATCTTTCGAGTTTCGGGTCGAGCGAGCTGGCAACCCTATCTGGTTAACCATTGTATGGGGGTGCAGTCTAAGCGCTATCTCCAACTTTAAGACAACCCTTATTATAAAGTTATGATTTTTCTCGTTCCAAGGGGGAATCTTATAACGAGGTTTAATCGTTTAATATTTACATATATATTTTTATACATTCCAAAAACGATATTAAATATTTTTTCTTCTTCTACTATTACATAATTGATTATAATGATTTTTTTCCTTTTATTTTATTCTAATTATTTGATAATTAATTATATTTACTCATTATTTTCCAAAAAATATTTTCTCTCCACATATCCTACACAAAATTAAGAATCTTTCAATTTTATTTTTAAAAATTTTCATATTTTTCTTTCATATATTTTCCTCACACCTCAATTACATACACATGACACAGGCATTATTCTCAGGGAGGTAAAGCCAACAAAAAAATTTTGTTTAAAAATTTTTTTTTGATATTTAATTATGTAATATATTTTCTTTTATGTACCTAATTATTTCTTTAAATATAAACTGATAAATTTTAAATTAATAAAAAATGTTGTTTTATAAAATTATTAATTTAAGTAATGATGAGTTAAGCAACAAGAGTTTGGCAGGTAAGAAATAAGGAGCTGTTGATCCCTCTCTCCGGCAGTTATTAATTAGGAGTTGTGCCTAGTACCTTTCAGATGCTCCTCTCCTAACCGAAAAGGAGCTGCCTATAGCGATGCTAGAAGCAATTAATGTGCTTCCGAAAAGGGAGTAGTAAAATCTAGTGACGTACAAGACCCAAAATTTCCAAGACTTCACCCCAAGACCGAAAAATCCCAAGAAGGCTTTGAGACAAGACTCAGGACCAAGAGCCTTGGAAATCTCTTAAAATTTCTATAATAACGACCCAAAGTCCCTCCTTACGTCAAAAAATCAAGCCTAATTCATTATAAAAGACCCCTGTTGGCTTTTCAATTTTTAAAAATTCTAGTCAATTAAACTTTCCGAGAATCAAAAATTTTGAAGCTTCCCTTTACTATTTATTTAGGTTAGATAAACAACAAGGTATATATAATTTATATATAGGTAATTTTTCCATTAATTTTATTGCAACAATTTTCTTAGTTTCTTTCAATTTCTATATATTAATCCCAACCCAAAGCATTAGAAAAAGAGCTCCAAAACCCAAAAAGCCAGATGCAATTAAAGCAATAACCAATTCTTTGATTATACTTCGAGTCTTTTTTGTACTAGTTACCTTTAAAAAAATTAAATTTAATAAATGTACAAGGGTCTGTCGAAATTGAGGTTAAAAATCGAAGAACGGAAACCAAAGTGAAATGCGGCAAAAAACGAAAAACACGGCACACCCTTGAGTAAAGCAGCTGGGCTATAGCTATTTCTCTCCTTTAGCTAGAGCAAAAGGTTATTCGGCGGCTGGGAGCGAACAGCATCTTCAGTAGACCGGACTGATGTGTTAGCCATTACACCACGCCGCCTACTGCTCAGCCTTAGGAATTAAATAGCTATATGCTTTACACTTGTTCCATAAATTCCTCTCATTTCTAATTTAAAAACCCCAAAAACTAGAGAATTGTGACATATCCTAGAGAGGTACGCCCAAGTAGGCGCACGGCCAAGTAGGTGCAAAGTCATAACTTGCTTCAAAATTTCCGAATCTTACCAAATTTGGTATTAAACGATTCCTCTCATCGAGCTAAAGAGAATGGTACCAAAATTGTTAAGGTCCATAAATTTTTCAGGTAGTTATGGCTTTGCGCCTAATTGGCCGCGCGCCTACTTGGGCGTGTCCCATCCTAGAGATGTTTTCGAAAAGGGGGGAGTGAAGCTCCTTTATAACGATACCCTCTTCCCCGTCTCATCCCTAATCCTTGTCAAAAAATTAAGCCTAAGGGGAGTGTCGTTATAGAGCTTCAACTACAATTAAGACTATCAATAAACTTACTCCATTAACAAAAAAGTAGGCAGTAGAAATCAAACCAATTCCAAGCAGAACAATTGTCAAATGAGGAAAAAGTGAAGGGCTTACCTTAGGAAAAATAAAAAAATTTTTACAAAAAATTAAAATAATTACCGGGCTATTATACGGATGCATTTTTGAAATATCAATTGCCATTTTCTTTGCAAAAAAATTTCTAAAAATTTTTAAAAAATTCAATTTAAAACAAAATAAATATAAAAAATATTCAAATTTAAATTAAAAAATATTTTCTAATAAAATTTTTTTAATTTTATTTTAGTCAATTAGGTAAATTTTTAAACAAAACTATATAAATGTTTGTACGACTACTGGCTCTAGAATAATTTTTGGGAGAAAAAAATTACAAAAAAATTAATATATTTTTTTTGATCCAGAAGTTACCTCAAAAATTTTCGATTTTAATTTTTCTTCGTTTTTTTTTGTCCAAAAAATTTTTTATTAAGAGCAACTTCTGTGATAAATAGAGAAAAAAAATCAATTCAAATTTAAAAAAAATTAAATTAATTCTATACAATCAAATTTCCTACTTAAAAATTAATAATTAAGTAAAAATGGAAATGTTTGGGCAGAAATAAAAATAATTAATTAAAAAAATATTTTTTATATAGGTATATAAATCTTCTCATTGGGCAAATTTAAGTGTCTATTTATATTATTTATTTGGGGGTTGACAAAAAAATTTTTTTCGATTAAAAAAATTTTCACCTAAAAAGCTTTATCAAAAATGTTCAAAAAATTTTTTTTAGAAAATTTCAGACTTTTGTCAACCCCTCTAATAATATTTTTTTATATATATTCTTACCTAATCTAAATTTATTTTTAAAAAACCCTCTTCTTTAAATTTATCCAGTTGTCCTTATTTCTTTTAGTCTATTTTCCCACAAATGTTCAATTATTGTTTCATCTACAAGAGTCGAAATATCACCCAAATCTGCTTGTTTGTCACCCTCTGCAATTTTTCTCAATATTCGTCTTGTAATTTTTCCGGAACGAGTTTTGGGTAATCCGTTAGCGTGCTGAAAAAGGAAATTTTAATTCGTATTAAATAATTTTCCCCGAAGAATCAACCCCAGAAATGCCCTTGTCTATGAATGTCTCACCATCCATTAGGTCACAAAAGAGGTGAGAAAAATTTTGTTAGGTAGGATTGACGATCGGTTAATTTTCCATGTGCGTCTGTCAGATGCTTACTTGTTTTACTATTAAAGCCGCCACTAGAAAAAATAAACCGGCGCCAACAAAATTAATACCGGGCCAATTTTTGAATTTTTTCTCGAATTGGATTTCCTCGGAACGAGAAAAGCCTAGGTTCTCCTAATTTTTTAAGTAATTCCCATTAAAATTTAGAAAAGAAATTAAACCTGTATAACATCAGGAATAGCAATAGCCCCGATTTTGTCTCTAACAACACATTTAATTTCTTTAACCAATTCCTCAGTTAATCTTTTATCATTAGATAATACAACAAAAGCATAGGGGAAGTGCCCTTTTATTGGATGTGGAGCAGAAACAACAGCAGCTTCAACAACATTTGGATGCAAAGCTAAAGCTGATTCTATTTCGCTTGTAGAGAGGAGATGGCCTGATACCTTAAAAAAATATAAAAATAGAATAAGACAACCCTATATAGGATATACCCTTGGAGTCAATAAATGGTCTCTTATAATGAGGGAGTATCTTAAATAGAGGTTAGGAAGCTCCAAACAACAACCAAATTTCAAGAAAACGATTCTTAAATTGAAATGTATCTAACAGTGAGTTATCTTAAATAGAAGGGCATCTTATAATAAGGTGTATGTTAAATAGAGGGTATCGCTTCGGCAACTTCCCCGCCCAGTAGTCAACAAATTTTAAGAAAACATGTCAAAGATGTCTAACTGTTAAAAACAAACATTCATTAAATCATCCGTTCTACCAGTAATCCAATAATAACCATCATCATCTAAAAAATTAAGAAAAAATTTTTTTAATTAAATAAAGAAACCTCTACGTGCACCATCTCCAGTAAAATAATTTCCAGGATAAGCACTAAAGTAATTAGTAACAAAACGTTCATGATCACACCAAATAGACTAAAAAAATATTTTTAAATCAAAAAAAATTTAATTTTCTTCTTACTCTCATAATTCCTGGCCATGGCTGTGAAAAACACAAATTTCCTTCTCCAGGTCCCTTTTAAAATAAATTAAAATATCAATGTAAAAAATAAGATTGTAGTGAGGGTCTGATTGCCCCAAAAAGTAATAGAATTTAATTTTTATCTTGAAAATTCCCCATCCCTCCCAGCTACATACTACCTCACCAAAAATTTTCCCTAGGCTCCCCCCCTCCAATCGAGGAATAATCCTAAGAAAAAAACAGAAAAAAATTATTTAAGAAAAACCTCTAATGTTTTCCCTTCAATATTAACCAATTTTGGAAGTACTCCAAAAAATGGAAGGGTTGCAGAGCCTGGTTTAGTTGGGATTGCAGCAGGCATTGGAACAATATAAAAAAGATAATGATAATTTTAAATTCACAAAAAAAAATTTTTTTTAATTCCACAACTTAAACTTAAATAACTAACCACATGTCCACCCTTAAAAATAAAAAACTAATTAAAAATTTTTTTTACTAATTTTACCGTTTCAGTTTGCCAATAAGTATCAACAACAGCACATTTTGTTTTACCCACAACATTATATAACCATTTCCATGCTGTTGGGTTTACTTTAAAATTTATAAGAAATTTAAAAAATTTAAAAAAAACAAACTAGGTTCTCCAACAGTTCCAATTATTTTAAGTGAAGAACAATTATGTTTTGTTACAAATTCTTCTGGGAATGCCATTAAAGCTCTTAGAAAAGATGAAGGTCAAATTTAATTCTGAAAAATAAAATTACCTAATAGCTGTAGGTGCTGTATAAAATTTGGTAACACGATATTTTTCAATAATTGACCAAAAACGAGAATGATCTTGAAAAAGAAATTTTATATAAAATTAATGGCTATTGTCTAATTTATGAGTTCAATGACTCAAAAAGGTTCATTGGACTCGTAATTTTTCATAGGACTCATAAACTAGACCAGAGCCTTTAATAAATAAAAAATTAAAAAAAACCTGGATGACTCGGAACACCTTCAAAAATTACAGAAGTCAAACCATTCAATAAAGGTCCATATACAACATAGGAATGTCCAGTTATCCAACCGCAATCAGCAGTTGCCCAATAAATATCAATATCTGGTTGTGCGTCAAATGAGCACTGACAAAATTTTCTATAAAAATTTTTTGAAAATTAAAAAAAAACCTTTGTTGTCATATAAACATAACACATATACCCAGCGGTAGAATGAAGAATACCTTAAAAATTAGATAAATTTTAGATAATGATATTCATTTTGTTATGAATTGGGGCTCTTTTTCTCAATTGTTCTCCGTCTCCAACGGTTCCTGGAACCGTCTGGCACCAGAAATCTTGGTTTGAAACCATCAGGAATTTTCTCGATGGTTCTATTAACATAAAAAAACCTTTAGGAGATCCAGTAGACCCAGAAGTATACAAAATAAATAAGGGATCTTCTGCTTCCATCCATTCCACATTTGAATTTGTCTGTTGATTTGCCTCTTGATGTAAAGCCATTTCATAATCCCACGTAGAATCTCTTCCTTTTTCCAATTTTAAATTAATTCCTTGTGCTCCTTCGGGTATTCGAATTTTCTTTGAAAAAAACTTTTTAAAAAAATTTAAATTTAAAAACCTTTAAATGTTCAACAACAATAATATTATCTAAAGATTCTCCTCGAAGAGTACAAATATTGGCTGCTTTGTCCGCCAATGATTTTAAGTCGATTAATTTGTTGCCCCGGAAGCAACCATCTGCTGTGATTCTTAAAAAAATAATTTTTTAAATTAAAAGTTAGGCTCTAGGTCAGTCCAATATAAGAACGATTTAGTTTGTCTGGGACCGTGAATTTTCAAAAAAAATCTCGAATTCCGCGACAATTCACCGAAAAGTAGACAATTTACCGAATTGTCCATACGGTGAATTGTCATTTGTTGAAATATAAAAATTAAAAAAATATTTTTAACAAAAAAAATTTACAAAATTCTAGATCTTGCATGTGTAATTCTTGAAGCTAAAGAATCCGCAGAAAATCCAGCAAAAACAACAGAATGAATAGCACCTATACGAGCACATGCCAACATTGCAACAATTAATTCCAAAATCATTGGTAAATAAATTGCTACAACATCTCCTTTTCTAACGCCTTTAGAACGTAAAACAGAAGAAAATTTGATCACCTATATTTAAATAAAGATTGATTTTATGACAAAAAAATTTTTAATAAAAAAATATTTGCGGACAAAACTTGCGGACAAAAATTTTTTTTTGCGGACTTTTGGAAACTTAACGAAAAATAACCACCAACATGCTTTTCAACAAAAAGTATTATTAGAAACACCAAGAAAACACAATTTATTCAAAAAAACCTCTTTTAATAGTTCTCCATAAGTTATTGATTTTTCATCGCCAGGTTCATTTCCCTCCCAGAAATAGGCTATTCTGTTTTCCAGCCCATTTTTAATATTTCTTTCCAAACAATTATAAGCAATATTTGTTTTTGATCCATTCATAAAACGAATAAATATCTAAAAATAAATTTAAATTTTAGTTTAAAGACTTGCGGACAGAAAATTGCGGACTTTGGGGAATAAACAAACTTCTCCCTTACAAAACTGAAAAATTCTGCAAGAGAAAAAGGGCCAGAAAAAGAGGATCTCTAAATGAAATAAAAGGCTCTTATGAACCTCAATTCTTCCCTGCCACCATTACCAGCAGAGTTGTTTCGAAAAAATTCTCAGAAAAAGACAAAATCGAAAAAAAACCCCTCAAAAATCGAAACTTCGAAACAGCTGTGGTCACTCAAAAATCATGCAGAATTGTCCACAATAAAAATGACTCGATTATTTTTTTCTTTGAACCCACAAAAATTATATAAAAAGACAAAACAAACCTCTCCCTTCCTTTTATCAAAATTCCATTCCAGCCCCTTTTCAGAAAATTTTTCAAAATACAATTTTTCGGCCACAGATTTCCAAAACTCGTCAGGATTTTTAATTGATTTATTATACATTTCTTGATATTTAGACAATCCAGAAATGTGTGCTTCTTTAATTGGGGGAGGCTGAAATATTTCTTCCGGTTCTTCTTGATAAGTTGTTCCATTTGTTAAATCAAATTTAGTAATTTTTTTGAGATTTTCTGACATTTTTTCTGATGGAAGTTGTTGAGAAGAAGGCAAAATTGAGTCTAAAAATTGAAAAAAAATATCAAAAAAATTCTGAATCAGTCGGGTTTCGATTTTAAATATACTAGAGCTCGACACGGGACAAGATCCCGAAAGGGATTTTACGGGATCCCGTCCCGGAATCCCGGGTTTTCAGCGGCGAACGGGATTACCGGGATTTACGGGATTAATCCCGAGGGATCCCTTCCCGTTCAAAATTTTAAAACTCAATCCCGTTCCGGACGAAATTGGTAGATAGAAGTTAATTGGAAAAAAGTTTTAAAAACAATGAGATTTAAATAATAAATAGTAGAAAAATAAAAATATTAAAAACAAAAATATTCGACAATATGTAAAGTAGAAGAAAGGGAGAAGGATAAAAGCAAACTCCACGTGGTAATAAACAATAGTAAACAATATTTGAGTGAATATAAAAAATGTGTAAACAATAATTGATTTTTAAATAAAAATTCTATTTTAGAAAATGAAAAAAGAAAATGAAAATTGAAAAATTCTTTTAAAAGAAAATTCAAAGATTGCAAAATTTAAAGGAGCAGATGTCCATTTAATCGCAAAGACAAAAGTTAAAAACATGGAATCCTTTTAAAGTAGGGTTTGGTAGCTCATGATTAGACGTATCAAATCTCCCAGCCCATAAAACAACCCTTCTAAAGTTTGGTTACTTGCCCCGCGGTCACAAAAAATTTTTTTAAAGAGTAAGTGGGGGCAGTGACTATCGAAAGTCATTCGAGTTGTCCACTTAATTGCAAAAACAATTAAAATTTGGTATGGTTTGGTAGCTCGCGATTAGAAGCACCAAATGTTGCCCCAAACCGGACAAAACCCTTTTAAATATTAAAAAAATAAAAAGTTGCCCCCGCGGCCACAAAAAAATTTTTAGATTAATTCTCTCGCGACTACATGGAACAGCGACCAGTGAAAGTCATTCGACACTTTTCTTTATTTAATCAGCTAATTTAATAAAAATTGTTTCTTTCCTCCTTTCACTCCAATCCTTATATTAAAATTATTAAAAAATTTACCTTTATTGTCTGTACACTTCCAAGCTTGTTGCAAAATTAAAGGAGCTTTCCAAGCTTCGAAATTAATCAAAAATTTGTTTTTTATTTTATTAAAAAAACGAAAATTTTTATTTAAAAAAATAATACTCATTTTATTTTTTTTTTGAAACAATTGGTTTGTTAAAAAAAAGGGGGAAGAAAGAGGAACACGAGAACACTAAAATAAACAACTCAAGTTATGTAAGACAGTCAAAAAAATTTTTAGAAAAAAATATAGGTAATACATATTTAATAAAACTTGCTTGCTTAGCAACGTAAATATGAGAGGGAAAAGAAGGGGAAGAAAATATGAAACAAACGAAATTAAAAAAATTTTTTTTTAATTTTTAAAAATGAATTTTTAAATGGTTAAAATTAAAAATAAAATTTAAAAATAAAAAAATAAAAAAGAAAAACTTGTTTTTTGAACACAAAAGATTAACCAAAAAAATTTTTTTTCGATGGTAATTTAATTATAAAAATTTTAAAAAATTAAAAAATAGACAAAACAAAATTCAAAATAAATTAACAAAAAAAAATAAAAAAAAATTTCCTTACTAATTCACCACAAATTTAATTAATTTTGAATTTATTTTACCCTAGAGATCAACTCTTCACTTTTAAAGAAACCCCACAGAATTTAATTCTCCTTAAAAGGTCGTCATTTAAAGGTGCTAATCTCACGCAATCACTTTAAGGGGGGGGGGGGGCATGCTCACCGAGTTTTCTTTTCTTAAAATTAACTTTCGCAAGTTCTTTCACATCTTTTAAAATCAAGTCTGCACTCTTCTGGTATATTTTCTGATTAAAAAAAAATTTTTTTTTGGAGAATTTTTATTCAAACCATAATTAAAATTTATTGACAAAAATAAGAGCATTAGTAATTGGTACCTCCTTGCTGATATTCATTTGTTTGAAAATTAAAAAAATTCCAAACTTGATTTTAATATCAGCAATTGTGTAGGGGGAAGGAAATAAAGATTAAAAAAAATTTTTTGGATGGAAGGGGGGGGGGGAACAATCAGAAATGAGGGAAAATTTAAATATATTCTTAATAGATTTGTGATTTAAAGACGTTTTTTTTAATTTCTATACGGTCGACTCTACGATATAACCAACTCGAAACCGATTGAAGAAAAGGTCATTTATTTCCAGACCCGTAGCCAGGATTTGGGGGGGCATGAGGGCTACCCCTGGCTACGGATCTGGTTATTTCGAAAGGTTCGTTTAAAGCGGTTTTCAAAAAATTGTTTTTTAAATAAAATCACTAATCTTCATATAAGGGAAATAATATTTTTTATATAGGGTAGCCTAGAGCTTTTTCGAAATTTCGCTTTTGGAATTTTGAAACTTTCGATTTGCGATTCTCGAAATTTTTTGTTTCGAAACAGCTCTAGGGAAACTGTTCATTTTTTAAAAAAAAATTTAAAAGAAATCGGCTGGTTTCGAAAATATAGAAACAGCTCCATCAGCCACAATAGTCGCCCCAGTCACATAACTAGCATCGTCGCTAGCCAAAAAAGCGATGACTTTAGCAATTTCTTCTGCCGTGCCTCCCCTTGCCATGGGGACGTGTTCTTTTATCCAATTTAAATAAAACTTGAAAAAAAAATTTTTTTGAGAAGGGAGAGGGAATAAGAAGAAGCACCTTATTAACTGTGCTTTCCTCATCTGCAGATTCGCTGGTAATAAACCCTGGACTAACATTGTTTACCCTAACATTCTTTTTAGCATATTTAATGGCTATTGAACGGCAATAATTATCTGGAATTATTATTTTTTAATTTGGAGAATAATTTTAAAAGACCTAGAGCAACTCTTGAAGTGTTATAATAAGCATAGTCGGAAAACTGAAAAGAAAATATTTGAATTGAGGTTAAAATTAGGGTGAATGACACAAACGTCCGAAAAAAATAAAATTAGAGGGACATCAATACTCTGTCTCAGTGGCTGGCAGAATGACACGAATTTTAATTGAATTTCTTAGATATCTTGATAGACCCCCAAGTCCGTTTTGGGCTAACTAACGGTAGTTTAGACAATATTTTTGTGTCAGACGGTAATCTGTCCCCCTATATTTAATATAAGAATATTTACTTGCTGTTGGCCACCAAAACTACTAACATTAACAACTGCCCCCTTTTGTTTCTCCAAATAAGGAACACATAACCGTGTAAGTTTTGTTATGCTTTTGAGATTTATATTAAAAAGTGTGTCAAAGTGTGAATCAAAATGTGAAGAGCTGAAAAAGTGAAAAAATAACATTGGAATACATATGAGAGAAATTTAGAGAAATTAAATAAAATTTTTCTCAGTAAAAACAATAAAATCCGCCTATTACAAATTGTAAATTAATTACAATTGTAAAAAATAAGTTAATTTAAAAATAAATACGCCTGCCTATATATAATGTAAAATACGCCTGTTTACAATTATAAATACGCCTGCTAGCATTTGTAAAAGTAAGAAACATTAAAATAAACTTTTTTACAATTGTAAAAGCAAAGAATACGGTAATTTGTAAAAATAATTGCGCCTGCTAGTAGATTTGTAAAAATAAAAATAAACTTTTTTTACAATTTGTAAAAATAAACTATTTTTACAATTGTAAAAATAAAAATTCCGCCTAATAATATTTAAAAAATATTCACCGTCGCCTGCTAGCAAGTGAATTTCTGAAACTTCCACTAGGCTTTCCATCATCCTCCAATAAATCATTTTCTTCCCTATCACTATCAACACTTCCACTATTTTGCCTATTTATATTGTGTTTTAATTTGTTGGAAATGGAGGAAGCTGGGGAATTACTGCCTTGAGTTCTTCCGATTGCCCCAGCACTGTTCACCTTTTAAAAATACTTCAATTTAATTTTTGTTATTTTTTTTTATTTTAATTTTACCAGTATATCAATTCGGCCAAATTTGTTGTAAGTTTTGTCTACAAGGTTTTTTAGGGTCTAAAATTATTTAATAAAATATTTTTAAATTACAATTGTAAATTTAATATTTATTACACTTTATTCCGCCTAGTGCTTTTTTAAATTCCCGCTTAGTGATATTTGTAAAAAGGGAATTGCAAAAATAAACTTTTTACAATTGTAAAAAGTCTACTTTTATTAATTTTAAAATAAACTTTTTTATAAATGAACTTATTCACAATTGTAAAATAAACTTTTTTTACAATTGTAAAGAAAGTTTATTTTTTTTATTAATAGTAAATAAACTTTTTTCAAAAATAAACTTTTTTACAATTGTAAAATATAATTCAAGTTTAATTATTAATTAATTTAACGCAATTTTGTGTAAGCATGGTTAAGTGGATTTGTGTTTAATTTAACAGCTAGAGTTTGTCAGTCTATTAATTACCTGATCATTTTCAATAACTCCTTGCACAACAAGAATATTATCTTGACTAATTCCTGCTCTAACCATTTTAACTATTGTTTCCTATAAAATTTTAGTCTCTCATTTAAAATTAATTCTTTTACCCTCAATTCTTTCTCAACAGTTCCATGTATTGTTACTTTTGCCCCTTCTTTTCCCAATAAAATAGCTGTTGCCCTGTCTATTGCACAATTCGATTCTTGACAAAAAAAATTGATTTAAAAATAGTCTCTTTACTAAGAAACACACCGGTAATAATCGCAACTTTCCCAATAAATCTGGAACCAATGGGGGGACTTTTAACTGGATATATTTGATTAGATGCTGTTAATTCGTGATTATTGTTGTTGTTGTCTTGAATAGTTTCCTCGTCCTCATCTTCTTCACCTATTGTATTCCCTCCCCAAATCATTGTTGTGGAATGAAATTAAATGAAGCTAGGTTTTACAAATTGTAAAAACAAAATTACAAATTGTAAAAAGTTGAAGTTTTGATGATTGACCGTTAGATAAAGAAATCAAGTTTTACAAATTGTAAAAAATCGCAAATTGTAAAAGTTTATTTTTAAATAGTTGACTGTTAAATAAGGAAATGAAGTTCTACAAATTGTAGAAACATTACAAATTGTAAAAAGGTTTAATTACGTATTAGAGAAGGAAACCAAGTTTTACAAATTGTAAAAAGTAGTTAGATAAGCAGAGAAAAATATATTTTATTGCAACTTAATTCAATCACGAGTTGTTTCTAAAAATCAAAAAGTAGCCAAAATTTGTGAAGACAAACGAAAAAGCAAAGAAAAAGATGTCGATTTAATGCCATTTCTCAATCCTTTGCGCTTTAAATTTTTTTAAATGAAATATGAGAGGCTTTTTTAAATAAAAAATTTTTTTTTTGTTTTTATTCTTTTTAAAAAGCTAAAAATCTTTCAGGTAAGAAAAAAGGTTACATGAACAAATATTTTATGTGTATTTTACTTGAATTTTTTTGTAAAATTTATTTCGAAATAAAAAAGATTAAAAGGGAGATTTAGTTTTTAGTTAGGCAATACTAAAACAAAAATTTAATTAAATCAGAAATTGATTGAAACAAAATGTTGATCAGTACATTAATTTAATTTTTATTTTTAAATTTATTTAAATCCAATAGCTTAAGATTCCTTAATTTGTAAGGTTGACGATTTTTGTTGTGTAGTAATAAAATAAAGATTGTCAAGTTATTTATTATAATTATGGCTAGAAATATACTAGAACCCTCCAATTAAAGCCTGATTAGTAATATGCTTGACTATAAATCCTAAAAATCAACCCTTAATTTCTCCCCACAAAATATAACTAATCTTCTTTACAATAGTCTATTTACTTAGAAATTAATTGTATTCGGCAGAATGTAATCAGAACAGCAGAACAATTACTTGAGTCCAAAAAGGGATTTATAGGTAGTATATCGAGAAACTAAAAAGATATCAAAAAATAAAGAAGGTTGATCTAATTCTGATAAAAGTAAATAAATAATATCGAAAGTTTCCATCCTTTTAAATTACATATAAAAGCAAATTATGAGAGATTAGCTTTATTTAAAAATAAAAAAAAATTTACATAGTTAAAAAATGCCAGTTAGGTATATAAATTAGTGTAGTCACTGAAAAAGATAGATGTAAAAACTGTTAAATTAATAGTTCTTCTCGACTATCAATTTTTGATTAACTTTTATAAATATATATCAAGACAGAAATTGTAAATCTTTAAGTGTTATTCAAATAAATATCATTTGAATTTATCGAGAAAATTTTTACCGAAAATTCTTAAAAATAGTGATTAATTTTTGGAGTGGAAAAAATATGAAGGAACTAATTAAAATTAAAAATACTAATTTTTGTTCAGCCATAAATTCTAAAAAATTTCTATGAAATTTTTCCATTGATATTAAACAGAAAAAGAAAAAGGACGAAGTCTGAAACTTATTTCTTCACCCAGATTTCTAGATAGTTTTATTTTAGCCTCATTTAAAGCCTATAAAATTTGCTATGCTTAAATTTTTAATAATGAAGCGCTTCGGGCTCTAATACATAGGTTACCTTATTTGGGTTACATTATAACATTAGTAAAGTTAAGAGGCGTTAGTTAGAAAAAATTACATTATTACCCCAAATAAGGTAACCTATGTATTAGAGCCCGAAGCGCTTCATTATTAAAAATTTAAGCATAGCAAATTTTATAGGCTTTAAATGAGGCTAAAATAAAACTATCTAGAAATCTGGGTGAAGAAATAAGTTTCAGACTTCGTCCTTTTTCTTTTTCTGTTTAATATCAATGGAAAAATTTCATAGAAATTTTTTAGAATTTATGGCTGAACAAAAATTAGTATTTTTAATTTTAATTAGTTCCTTCATATTTTTTCCACTCCAAAAATTAATCACTATTTTTAAGAATTTTCGGTAAAAATTTTCTCGATAAATTCAAATGATATTTATTTGAATAACACTTAAAGATTTACAATTTCTGTCTTGATATATATTTATAAAAGTTAAACAAAAATTGATAGTAGAGAAGAACTAGTAATTTAACAGTTTTTACACCTATCTTTTTCAGTGACTAAGTTAAAAAATAAAAAAAAATTTTATAGAGCCGGAAAAGTGAAAAATAAAATTTATGAAAAATTTAAGTTTTTAAATATGCTTGATGCAAAAAAAAATTCTGGGAAAAAAATAAAAGAATTTTCTCTCGACACTTTTCCAGCTTTAATTAGATTACAAATTATTTTTTAAAGTTAATTTTATATAAAACAGCTTAAGTGAAGTATATAAATTAGTTTATATGAGCATTTGTTAAATTAATTATGGCTGCTTTTTGAGTATTTTTTTGAAATAACGCAAATAGACCCATGTGTTAATCGCCAGATTTTTTAAAAAAGGTAGTGTAAATAAACGTGGTAAATGAAATAAATAGCGAAACGGCAGCAGCAATAAGATTAAGGCGCTAAAAATTTTTTTTAAATAATTAGGATGAGAAAAAAATTATAAAATTTGTTAGAAAAATGAATAAAAATAAAAAATTGGTAATAGTCTCGTTTCCCAGCCCCATTTTTTCCTCCCAATTTTCTACCCTATGTTTGTACGGAATGGTCAAATTTTCCCCTTTCTTTCATCAAATTTGCCTTTCCATATTTTGCCTAAAAACAATCAAAAAGATTAATTTGTGATATTTAAAAAAGTATTAGAGTAATGAGAAGAATCATTTTCCCAATTAATAAAAATGGAAGACTGTTGTTGTGAGACGAAAATATGAAGGAGGCAGACAACCATAAAAGAAAAATGTATGGATGATTGGGGGCGTTGAGAGAATCACCAAGCTTTTTGATTGTTTTTAGGCAAAATATGGAAAGGCAAATTTGATGAAAGAAAGGAGAAAAATTGACCATTCCGTACAAACATAGGGTAGAAAATTGGGAGGAAAAAATGGGGCTGGGAAACGAGACTATTACCAAAAAATTTGTTGTCAATTAAAATTTGAAAAAGAAAATTTAGGACAGATCCAACCCTTTTATTTTTTAAAAAAAGGGTAAAAAAGTGGAAATTCGAAAAGAATCGAGTTTTTAAAATAAATTTTAGCCCAAAAATTTATTTTTGATCTGGTCCTTCCATGCACAATTTATATAGATCGAATGGAACTTATTTACTTTAACTACCCACCCCAAAATTTTGCCGGATTTTTGTTTTATATGGTCAATTTATATATCATTCGAAAGAGCTCAACGAGCTGAATCGAATGACATCAAATTAAGCCCGCGGACTCAAGTCTGAGCTGAGACAAATGGGCTCAAAATGGTCAATGCAAACCTTGTTCGGAACCCGCGTTTCGCGAGTGGTTTTGCAGTACATGCCTCGCGGGGAGTTAAAGGTCACTGAGTTTTACACTAGCAACATAAACCTATAACTTTTTACCGATTTTCAGCCTTTAAATGCTGACCTACCCCCTAGTCGCACAAAAGTAGATATTCCAGCGAAAATTCAGTCGCTCGTAATTTTGTTCAAAATCACTAAATCAAGCTGATTTTGTTACCATTCGCTTCAGCTCGTCGAGCTCTTTCGATTGACGTATGTATTGCCCAAATCTAAATGAAAAATCCCCCGGTAAAAATTTGGGGTGGGTAGTTAAAGTAAATAAGTTCCGATCGAATTAATGAAGCAGAGAAAACGCTACAAAAATTCTTAACAAGCAGAAATTTTGTTTAAATCGGTCGGCCAAAATTTCAAAAAGCCTTTAAGTCCTTCAAGCAACTCATTCCACTCCCGCATATTAGATAATGAAGAGGCATTTATTATTTTTTTAAATAATTGATGAATTTACTCCAATTTACCTGGTATTTATGGTTCTTTGAATCAATAATAGCCGAGTAAATTCGAGCGTCAAGCTCTTTGAGCTGTTTTTCGTTGCGGCGAATGTCTATAAAATTAAATAATTACAAGCAGAAAATAAATAAAAATATTAAAATAAGATACTTCGAGTATTTACCCAACTATTTAGAAAAGAAATATCAGGTACTATAGTTAAGAAAGAAAAGTACCATGGGGCAACGGCTCTAGTACCAAGATGTCCTATGAGTTGAAGAAGGGGACAAAGCCTTTCAAAGCTAAAGAAACTAAACATAAATTTACAGTTAGGGTTTCGAACGCCAAACGCTATCACACAACACATAGGAATTCGAACTCAAGACCACTAGAGGTTATTCTCCCTCTTCTTGAGAATAGTACCAGACCATATCGGTATCAAAAGAACATCTTTTTTCTAGCACAGACCGGTTTTTAAAAATCAAGTAATATAAACCTTTTTTCATCTGTACAATATCCGGAATTGCTTCAACTGGAGGAGATATAACGATAAAAGCTACAAATTAAAAATAAAATTTTTAATTGAAAAAAAAGCAAAAATACTTTTGTCCAGCCAACCATCGCTAGGTTCAAAGAAAAATGTTTCGTCTGAATCCATTCTTTAAATAAAAAATATATTTAGAATTGTTTTAATGCTATAAGGGTATTGCTAGCAAATATATGAGGCCTAAACTCTTTATAAATAAATCAAAATTTGCGGACATTTTTTGCGGACAAAAAATACACCAATAGCCCAATTCTTAAAAATCTCACGGAAACTAATAATTGGGGCTAAAAAGAAATTTGTCTTAAAACCAAAACAATGTTCAAGAAAATGGGGAAGCTTACAAAAATGGAAACTCAAGGAATTCACAATACATCACGTAAAAGCATTACTCGAATGTTGGTGCCCGTAAACCTACGGCGCGGGAGGCATTTTCCTCCCAATTTCTTTTTAGATTAACCACCCCGTTTAAACGGTTTTCAGTTAATCAATACTTATTCCACAAATGAGTAAAATATTACAAAGGACCCTAAAGCCAGAAAATTTTAAAAAAATTTACAAAAGTTGCTGGTACCATCCATCCTTAGTCTTATATTCTAAACCAATGGCATTCGGAAAGCTAACAGCCACAGTTTTTAAAGATAACGTGCCATCATGGCTTGTTGGTAACAACTTTTTGCCAGTTTCATCAGCATCTTTAGCAACAAAAACATTTACCGACTAAAAATATCTTTTAATTTATTAATTGAATTATCAAAAAAACCTTATAGAATTTATTGTGAACCATAGTTTTAAGTAATAATTGAAATTAAGTTAGTTTTTTAGTAGGTCTATAATTCAAATAAAATCAATACTCTATAAAAAGTATTTAAAAAACACAAAAATAAAATATTATAAAATTAAAGAAAAATTCACAGAATATAAATGACCAAAAAATTGGGCGGGTTAAGTAAATGACGTGCCCGCATATCTTGCCAATTTCATAACTTGCCAAGAGGGCTAAAAACCCATATCTTGCCAACAGGGCCAAAAATGCATATTTTGCCAATACATATCTTGACAACCCATATCTTGCCAATAACTTGCCAATCCGGAAAAATGTCTTCCGGAAAATGATTCCGAAATTTAAAAAATATATTTGTAATCAACCGGCGGTACTCAACTGGCCGTTACTCAACCGGCTGGTACTCGACTGACCCTACCCCTTTTATTTTTATTGGCAAGTTTTAAGGATTTTGCCCTTATTGGCAAGATATGAGATTTTAGTGTTATTGGCAAGATATGGGTTTGGCAAGATATGGAGCTGGCAAGATATGGATTTTTGCCCCCATTGGCAAGTTATGGGTTTGGCAAGATATGTTGGGAGCCAGTAAATAAGAATCTAACCGTCTAGCAGAAGAAAAATAAAATCGATTTCTCCCACACATTCTCTTGTCTATAAATTATCTTTTCCCACTCTCTTATTGTGAAACGGCCCCTAAACAAAAGATCGATTCCTTAAAAGGTATATACATACATATGTATGTATTACAAGACCGACACTATGGAAAAGGCCAGTTGAGTTAGGGGAAAATTATGGAAACTGAATCTTCGATTCATAATAAAATGCTTGCATTAAGTAGGTTACGCAGTAAGATTGGAGGGTCCGTATCCGAAAAAATGCCAGATATCCGGAGATTTTCGGTTCGGATATCGGCTCCGGATATCCGAAGATTTCCAACTATCCGACAACAGGCAGTGCTACTACGGAGGGGTATTAGAGCATAAACAGAATAAAAATCAGAACATAACCAGAAATCAGTCAGAAATCAGAACAAGTTTGGAACCGGTTTGGAATATATATACAAAGAGGTATATGTATGTAAAAATGCTATAACGACTTTTGCGTCGAGACTATCATTGAGCCAAACTTCACCAAGTCTTATAAGCCCAAAAGGAAATTTTTATATAAGCACTAGGGAGTTAAAAATTCTTTGAAATATTCTACCTAAATTTCACATTGATTTACAAGATTTGAGATCTAGACTTCGTTCTTTTTTTATTTTTAATCAATATCAATTGATACTGAATCTTTTTTCGACATTTATTTATCTAGAAATCTAGTTTTTGTTATGAATATTCGAAATTAATTTAACATTTATGTATTACATCATTTAACATTTAATTATACAGATTAACTTTTGACCGGAAAAAATTAGGTAGTTGGGGGAAACATTTTAAAAAGTACTGGAATTATTTTTAAAACTAAAGCTTATTTGGAAGAGCACCTTTGACTTAATAAAAAAATTAATCCATGTTTTCTAAACGTATTTTTATCGGTATAACGTTTTAAAAAAATTTTGATCAGTGTAGATAAACTTTTGCACCTAAGTTTTTCGTCATATTAATAAAATCAAATCTTAATAAAACAAAAATTGATAGAGATTAAATGATTAATTCGATCAGGACATTAATTTAATTTTTAATCATGTTCGAGATTCACTAAAATTGTGTCGACAAGCAAGCTAAAACACCTTACCGGGCTTAGCATAGATGGGGATGGAGTAAGGCTACTATATCAAGCTTGGTATGCTCTGAAAGTTGTCATGGTTTTTTATTGATATCATAAGCTTCTCGCTCAAGGCTCAAATTTTTAATTTTTTTTTCAAATTTTCAACCTCAAATTTTAAATATTTAATTTAGTACTTAAATTTTCGATACAATTTACATATTTCAAATTTTGAAAGTATTAATCTTTTTTTAAAAATATGTATTCTTTCCCTTCTTTATTTTTTTACTTTCTTATGATCTAAACAAAGATTAAATTCAACATTAAAAGAAATAAAGGTCAAAGAATCTTAATGAGAAAATTGCTTATTGCAAAGGTTTAAATTTGAACGTGATTGTCTGGGCGCCACCCTTTCTCGGCTAGTTAATTTTCTAATTTTCTGTCAAACCGATTAAATTAAAAGTTTTGATTAATGTACTTCTGTTCAATAAAATAAGTTATCAGCGAAAATCCACCGGCCAAATGCCGTAAATTCCTTAGTTTTGCCTCGGCGCCTAATTTTGCCGCGCCCAAACGGAAAGGATTTAAAAAGTTTAAAAATTCAATTGTTAAGCTACCGTATCCCTTTTCTTCTCAAAACTTTTGCACATCACTCTGTTTCTTTTCCTTCTTTTCAATGATATTTTCACTGCTATTTTCTCTAATTTCACAAGAGTTATACACTTCTCCATTCTCAATTTGTAATTTTTTCTGCTAGAATATTCTCACTCCTCCTTAATTTATTCACTTATAAAAGCAATGTTTGCCTTGAAATTTCCGTCATTTAGATTTATCCTTTCATTCCGTTGCTGTTTTTTAATGGCGAAATATTGCCAACAGTTTTTTGAGTGTGAAAAGGGGATTTTTTACGTAATTTCCTTTATTTTCTGATTTTTCTTTTAATAACCAAGGAAACGCGATATTTTAAAACACGTCCAATACCCTCAGCTATTATTAGGGATAAGTTGTTTAATCTGTATTTTTGAGGCTGTTTTCGGAGATTAACGTTAAAAATCCCCTAATCTTTGTAAATTCCCAGTTCTTTCCAATTCCCTTTTCAAAATTCTAATTCCCCAAATTTTTCACAGTTTAAGTTTTTGTGCTTGTACGTGGTGAAGTTTGACGAGAGGACGAAGAGGCGAAGTTTTGAAGTTTTTTTGACGTGTTGGAACAGTGACAAATCTTATTGACCAATATGAGCTCAGGAGTGGAGTGCTATCGCTGCCATGAAACGGTTTTTGAATTTTTGGGTGTTTAGTGTTTGGAGTTGTAAAGGGGGGAGGAGTGTTTTGCAACGGCACAACTTAAGGGGCACATCTCGCGGGAATGTCCGAACAATGATGGTGGTGGCGGCGGAAGAGGTGGTCCACGCGGAGGAGGTTTTTTTGATTTTTTGAGGTTCAAAATTTATTTGAAAATTTTAAGGCGGCGATGGAGGACAATCCAAGTGCTACAACTGCGGACGCTATGGACATTTTGCACGTGAATGCAGAAGTGGAGGCGACGGAGGTGGAGGCGGACGTCGTGATGACCGTGGTGGAGGACGTGGTGGTGGTGGAGGAGGCGGCGGCGGCAAGTGTATGGTTTTGACTAATTTTATGTTAAGGGAATGGGGTTTTTGGTTGATTTTTAGCTCCAATTTTTGGTTTCTTTATCCTCCAGGGAGAAGATTTTTTTTGGAATTCTCCTGTGAATTCCCTAGCAATCCCCTTTTAATTAAATTTCTATCAGGTTATAACTGCGGCGGTTTTGGACACTATGCTCGTGATTGTGAAGGAGGAGATGGTGGTAGCGGCGGAGGAGGTCGCGATCGTGGAGGACGTGATGACCGTGGTGGTGGAGGACGTGGAGGGGATATGAAGTGTTACAATTGTAAATATGAATTTTGGATGAAGGATTTTAAAATTTCATTTTAAGGTAACAAGTATGGCCACATGTCTCGTGATTGTCCTGAAGGCGGTGGAGGTGGCCGTCGTGGCGGTGGAGGAGGTGGTGGCAATCGTAATTGTTACAATTGCGGACAGGATGGTTAGGAATTTTTTTCTTTGGGCTGGGGACATAAAGGCTTTCCTTCTTTTTCTCCTTTATTGTTTATGGCAAAAGGGAGGCAATAAAAAGTATAAGGGATGCAATTTTGGGAGAAAACGGAAAGAATGGGACCAATAAAGTTCATAACTCCTCGCTTATCCTCCTCAAAAATAAAATTAAATTCAGGACATATCAGCCGTGATTGTCCTGAAAAGCGTGACCGTTGAAGTGTTGATCGAGCACCAACGCTATTTTAAAGTTATTTGACTGGAAATGCAAGGAGAAAGAATTGAGAGAAAATTAAACGTTCCAATTTTCCATTTTATTTAAAATTTATTTTTGTTTGAAAATCTGATTGACGTTGGGTTTAATTTTGTTATATCTTTTATTTATTTTTTGACATTTTCAGATTTTCATAAATTCTCTCTTTACTCCTTTACGATAAAATTGTTGCTCTTTTGCCGAGCTTATAATTTTTGGTTTAATCCAAAAATTTTATTTAAAAATAATTTTTTAAAAAAACTTCTTTCATTTTAATTTTTCTTTAGAATAATTCGATTTTTGACAGTTTAAATTTTTGACGTATTAGAAAGATGCCATTAGATGTTTTGTTGGCCTGGATGGCTGGAGACTATAAAAGTAAGACCATTGATTTTTAAATCAAATCTATTTTGTGATTTTAAGATGATGATGATGATTAAAAAAGAGAAATGAGAGAATTATGAAAAGGAATCGGGGGAAATGCAAGGAGGAAAAATTAAAAGAACAATAATTTAAAATATTTTTTCTTCACTCCTTTATCGATAAAATTGATTTTTATTAAAAAATATATTAGAATAACATAGTAGATAATCAGAAATAATTTACAAAATTTCAAAAGACTAACAAAATTTCTTTTCCGAAAGTTTTTGGCCGTTTTCTTGTTTATCCTCAATTAATTGCCGCTTTCTACTATTTAAATTATTTCCTTTTTGAAAGACAAGTATAGGCCTTTCAAACCCTTAAAATTTTTTAATTTTGAAAATCGAAAATTTTTTTAAAGTTAACCTCGTGTCACAGCTTTAGGAATTCCCAATTGTTGACATTCTACAAATCCAACTTCATTAATTAAATAATTTTTAAATTGGTCGGGTTTAAATTTGATATTTTTGTAAGTCTCAAACATTTCTGGCTGAAGAGGAAAATAAATTTTTAAAAAATATTTTTTAAATTTCTAACCGTTGTTTTTGCTCGTTTGTAATATTTTGACCAATCCTGCAATTCTAATAGTAAACGTCCACCTAAATTAATAATCATTAATTTCAATTTATGTTTGAAATAGACAAATTTTTTATGATTGACGGAGTCGGGCCTCATTAACATAGGCTGGAGAGTACCCTATAATGAGCTGTATCATAAATAGAGGGTATTTTTTACGAGGTGTACTTTTGTCAAATAAAGGGTAACTTAAAAAACGGGGTTTATCTTAAATAAAGAGCTACTTTTAAAAAGGAGTATCTTAAATTATAGAGAGTCGCTTATGAGTTGCCCACACCCAAGGGTCAACCAAATTTTAAGAAAAAGTATCCAATTTTTATAATAAAATAAAATTCAAAAAACCAAACCTCTATTTAAATGTTTAAAAGTTCTTTTAAAAAATCTTTTAATTCCTTCATCCCCCCAATTTAAATGTATCCATTTTGAAATACTTAAGGCCAAAATAACGTCATATTCTTCTCTTATCATTTCAAGATATTCGTCAGATTCTAATACATAATTCTCTCGAGAAAACCAAACATTGTAATTTTTTATAGATACTGGGAATTTTCCAATAAACTTTTTTGAAAAAAAGAGAAATTAAAAAAAATATGTGTGAAGCAGAGAAATCATGATTTTCGACCCGATTTCCAGTACGTTCATCATTTACGAACGACTCCTGGGACTGTGAGAAAGTAGGGAATGGAAGATCCAAATGAGAGCTTATGTTGGCTGAGGCCCTATAACTATGTAACAAAGCTCAGCCTACAGAGCACCTTAAACGTGATGAAAAGGTTGTCGCAGTTTTTCATCTCTCTTACATGATCTCTCTTATTTGCCCAATTACTTGATTTAAAAAAAATAAAAAATTATTAAAAAAACCTCTTGTCCATCTCCATCATTACATTCAAAATAATGTCTAATATTTTTTCTAGCAACCCCAATTAAATGATCATCAATATCAATTCCTAAAATCCACGAAGGTTTTAATTCCTTTGCAATTTCCAAAGTTAAATGTCCAGCATTACAACCAACATCCAAAATTCTTTTTTTATTAAACCATTCTTTTGGTAATATATCCAAACGGCTGAAAAAAAGGAAAAAGATTTTTTTAATTTTTTTAGTGATTGGACTCTCCAACAATTTTCGCACAAAATTTTAAGCCCTAAAACTTTTTAGTTTCAATTCGCTATCCAAAGAAAACGAAAATTTTCTAGAGTAAATTGATGATGTACTAGCGATTGGTACCAAAAAAGTATTACAGTTCGAGACGAGGGTTGGTGGTTCCTGGGAAATCTCCAGGTATCTAGAACCGAAGCCAACATCCGAACCCTTTTCGGATTCGGTACCCGGAACCGCTAACCTTATTCGGGAGACTCCCATGCATTTTGGTATCTCATTTTGGTATCCCCAATCTAATATACACCTTGCTATAAATCCTTTAGTCCACTGGGCAATCTTATAATCAGGACACTTATTAAAAATTAAAAAAATATTCTTTAAACTAACGGATCGTGATCAAATCCTTTCGTCCTCACACCATAATAACGATTAAAATTTCCATAACGAAAACGCTCATTTCTACAAAAACAAAAAAATATGTATAATTTTAATTAAATTAAAAAAATACTTTTTTTCCTTCTTTTCTGAACTAACCAAACTATTTGTGGCTGTAGAAGAAGATGAAGGGAGTCCAGAAGGTGATGAAGTATTTGAACAAAATTCTTCTTCCATTTTAGGTTAAAATTAATTTTAAAAATTTTGGCTAAAAATAAATTTTAAAAAAATTAAAAAAAATATTTCTTTGACGATAAAAACAAATCAATTTAAACCTAAAATAATCTCTAAAATATTTATTTTTAAAAAATATACAAAAATATCATTTCACAAGAGAGGTATAAAATATACAAAATTAAAATAAAATTTATTTTATTCACACATCTATTTTTCATTAATTCCCTCTGGTGGACAACTTATTGACCTTCTCTGATTTTTAGCTAAAATTTAGAAAATTAATAGAATGAAAAGATTTTTAGTAAATTAGACACTAAAATTTTTTCAAAAAAAATTTTTGTAAAGTTCATTAAAAATATGACCAAACATTATAGTAAAATACGTTTACAAGGGACACTCTCGAAAATAAATTTTATAATATTTTTTAATAATGTAAGACAGAGATTCCCTCCGCTTCCTTTTTACATTTTTTTCTTCAGCTTTTAAAAATTCGGAAGGACCCATGTGTGGAAAACATATTTCCCAATTATCTTTCCTAACTTTTTTACATCTGTCCCTGAAATCAAAAATTAGAGAGGTTAAAAATTTCAATCCTAGTTCTTCCACAATCCCTCATATTGTCCCAAAAACCCCGAATAAACATAAAAATAAATAAAATAAAATAATTAAAAATTAACCAAAATCATTATCATTGTCATTACAGAAATCTCCCATAGAATTATCATCACAAGGCAAAGAACCTCCTTTTTCTGAAATTATTGATGATTCACTTGATGAAGATTTTTCACAAGAATGAACAAGATTTTCATAATCATCGTCTAAATTTTGTTGTTGAACACCAGCTTTTGGTACAAAAATATCCTGATCTTTATCATAAAATAATTGGGCTCCTTTAAAAACGTTTATATTTGGTGGAACCTAAAAAAATTAATTAATTTAGTAAGAAATTTATGGACAAAAATTGAAACTTATTGAAATTAAAAAAGAGCTACATATTAGGCCAAGTTCACTACAATGGCCTAACAGGTATGAAATACCGAACCTCATACTTTCAAACTCAAAAATATTAAACACCCCAAAAACCTTTTTATTCCTCATGTAGTTTGGTATTTCGGAGGCTTTTGGTAGTTTGACGCTTCGACGTTTTGATCGGCACGTTTTGGATCTAACAAAGGATAATTCCGAATTGGCCTAAACCCCCACCCCTCCCATTATAATATTCGGGGCTCCCTCCTTTCCTTCTTTCTGTCTGTAAATGTCCTCCCTTACAAATGTCCGGAAATCTAATCAAAAAAAAAAGATTACCAAAAGTATAGAATTAAATTCAGGTAAATATTTTTCGACAGGCACATAATTTCCAACCCAAATTTTTTCTTCTTCTTCTTCATTATCCATTTTTATTTTTTTATTATTTGGTTGTTCATTAAATAATATTTTAAATTTTTCAATATTTAAATTATTTGTTAAAATTTGGTTTTCTTTTAATAAACAAGTTTGTAAATGTTCTAATAATAAATTATTCCAATTGTGAGGACGAGAGGTTAATTCTAAAAAATTTTTGTTATTACTATAAAAAATTAAAATGGAAAAGCCCATGTCAGTTGAGTTCCATCTTTAGCCCGTCTATAGGTACTTATCCCTTATACCACACCCCCTCAAAGTAGTGTCCAAAATGTCATATATGGGGTAATAAAGGGTGCTGATCAGATTATGGTGTTTATTTCTCAATATAAGAACCCCCTCACCCATAAATTGTCATGGTTCATAATGGTCAAACTTCAAGTTTTTATTTAAATAAATATATAGGTATGAGCAATATTAATGCATTAATATTTATTTTGCACTTATATTTATTAATGCACTAATATTTAATATTTATTTTCTGTGCGATTATTGGTCGTTTAATGAGTATATAAACGATTTCATTCATTTGAACCCATAATAATAAAAATAAATAAAAAATGCCCTATAATTACGACACACTAATGGGGGGATGTCCTGATGAATCAAACGCTGCAAAATTTTTTCAAAATTGCGGTTTGCTTCATACTGAACGTTTCTGCCATTGTGGTAGTCAAATGCGTCCAAACTTGAAGTTTGACCATTATGAACCATGACAATTTATGGGTGAGGGGGTTCTTATGAGAAATAAACACCATAATCGTGATCAGCACCCTTTATTACCCCATATATGACATTTTGGACACTACTTTGAGGGGGTGTGGTATAAGGGATAAGTACCCGTCTATACTCACAACGCAAAATTTTGGCCGCATACCCAATTTCAGTCCCGGTTTTGAAATCCTAACCCTAGAATTGGCTCTTCACTCTTTATAGGTCAAAATTAGTCAAAAAGATTGAAATCCAAAAAAAGGATGCAGCTGGAGGAATTGGCCTCTCTATCCATAATATCCGCTCAACGGATGAAAATGGGCTCATTGTCAGTCGGAAAATCAAAATCGGACTCAACTGATGGGCTGCCCAATAAAAAAATTAAACAGGACCTAAACTCTTCAAAAAATTTTAAAATAGAACCTTGAATCATTTTTTCACAAATTTGACCTTTTAAACTCATCGCCAATAAACAAAGTATTTTGTCACAATCTCCAAGTAATTTTACATCTGCTGTATAATTAGGTAACAATTCTCGATTAATTAAAATTTGAGGTATTGAATTGTCAATATTATAGGGGATTAGACTAACTGGGCGAACTTGTAAAGAAGAACCAATAATTATTAATAAATCAACATTTGTTGAGTCTATAGCCATTTGATTGTGAAATTGGTCAGTCAAATCTTCTCCAAAAAATATTATATTTGGCTTTATTACTCCAATTTTGCATTTTTGGCAGTAGGCGACTTTCTAAAGAAAAAAAATTTTTTTAATATTTTAATTATAAGGGGAAATCCAGCTGGCTAGACGGGGATTTAACAATAAAATCTATTAAAAAAGAGGAGACTCTGCAACGTTTAACTGGCAAGAGGTTGCAGAATCGATATTTGCCAGGCTAATCTTTACCTCTAGCTTACTTAATTAGCCCGAACCATGTTTATATATAAGGTCATCCTATAAGGAATCACGTCTTTCCATTGCTAGTTCTGGGGCCTATTTCTCCCCTCCACAGATTCTGCGGATAGAATTCTGTGCACAGAAAGCAGATTCTGTGGAGAGGAAAAATAGGCCCCTAAATACGTTTTAATAATTTTGCAGGTTGTCTTAACGTTAGGTTTTGGTTCACTCAAAAAAACAAACCTTTTGAAAAACATTTTCACGAATTTCTTCCGAATCAATTTCATTTTTACAATTTAAACAAGTTGAACGAGCAAATGATCCTTTAAAAAAATTTTATAAAAAATTAAAATTCTAGAAACCATGACATTCAATCAAATTATTTATTCCAGCTAAACGTTCCAAAGTATCAATATTTTGAGTATAATTTCTCAAAAGTTTCCCTTCTTCTTCCAAAAATTTAATGAATTTGTGAGAAATGGAAGGACGGAATTGGCCAGGAAAGATTTCCTAAAAAATTAATTTTTATAAAAAGAAATTTGAAATTTTAGAAAAAGTTGACCATTATGAACCCTGACAATCTGTAATATCTTGGAAAGGAAGAAGATAAAAGAAAAGAGGAGGCAAGTAATCGAAAAGTAACCATAAAGGAACATACTCAAAAATTCTTAAAAAAATATTTTCTTAAAATACCTTTGCAAAAGCATAAAATGGCCGAGGATTACGACGAAAAAAGTCAATATCAAACATTGAGTGAGGATCAGGCAATTCAGGAAAATCATCTTTTAATCGAGCATAAATTCCTTTTTCTGAACGAAAATCGGGTATTCCACAACTAACAGAAATTCCAGCTCCAGATATAATCATTATTGATTTGCTACGTCTAAAAAAATTTTCTAAATTTACTTTTCGATCCCAAAAATTATCAAAAATCCCAAAAGCCTCAATTTAAAATTTTAGAAAGTTAATGAAAAAAAGTTGCGAACAATAAATAAAAATGACCGGGTAAATGGGAAAATGACCCGGTAAACACCCTCTCTTTATCATAACAAAGCAAAGATGGGCCAGGTTGGGAAGAAAGTTGGGCAAGTCCAGAATAATCAGGCCAATCCAATAAATCAAAGGCATAACCAGGGGGTCTATTTCGGACGGGGGGGGGGGGGGGCCAAAATTTCGGACGAGGGGGGGGGGCAAAATTTTGGTCTTTCCCTTGGCGTTGTGGACGCAAAGGGGCTTTAGCCCCAGAAGCCCCCTGGCTGACCCTTGCAATAGATTAATGGTGCCCGAATAAATCGGTCAGAAAATGCCTTGCCTTACCAACAAGAATATTCCCTATCCCATCAAATATCACCCCATAAATTCAAAAAATTAAAAGAAAAACCTAATTAATTCCACAGCATCTTCAAAAGTATTCCATTGCGGCAATTTCTCTCTACTTCTAATTTCACACAATTCTTGTAAAAGTTGTAAAATCCAAATGTCAGGTATATTAGTTGGAATAGAATACATTGGATACAAAATTGAAAGGACCCCTCTAGGCGATATTCCCTTTCTAATTAATTGTTGGACTAGAAACATTGATTTTGTTGGTTTTTTCCACTGAATTGAAGGGTGATTTGAAGCTTCCTGGACGTCTAAACTTGAATTAGAATTATTTAAATATTGATGATTTGCAGAGGTTGAAGGTTGACATTCATTAGTAGAAATTGAATTTTGTTGTTGTTCATCTTCTATTTTTTCAACAATTTCATTACAAATAACAGACGGAATATCATCATCCATTAAAGGGAAAAATAGTAATATTTAAAAAAATCTTCTAAAAAATAAATTTAAATTAATTAAAAAATAATTTGGCAGGTTGGCAAGCCATCAAAAAAATTCAAAAATAAACGAGATTTTTTTTAATTTTTAAAATATATTAACAAATTATTAAAAAATAACAAAAAAATATAGATAAAATTACTCATCATCACTATCATTAAAAACAATACGAGTCGGAAACATTTTTGGTTCATTACTTCTTTGAATTGAGTTTTCTCCAAATTTTTTACCATTTTGATTGTTGTCCGCCTTTTTCTTCTTTTTTAAAATTGATTTTAATGGAATATCAGAAATTCTGAAAAATAAAAAAAATTAAAAGATATTAAATTTCAAATAAAATTTGGACGAGCAGACACAAGCCATTGACCGATCTGAGGATTTTTACAACGCAAGATGTACGGCTTTTTACGAAAGCATATAATTATTTGACGCACATATGCCCCATGGAGTGCCGTTAAACATTTTGTTTTTTAAAATAAGTTTCGGCACACCGCTGCTATGCACGCCCTCTTTATGATCCCATGGAGTGCCGTTAAAAGCCCATATTCCAACCCGATCATTTTATGTCCAATTTTTGTAAATTTTTGCAAATTTAGTGTAAGAGAGGTCCCTCCCTCCCATCCTAATTCAAAAAAAAATAAAAAACCTTTTTTGATTTTCCTCCTCCATTTGTTTTTCCTCTTCAACTTGATCTTCTTCTTCTTCAATTTCCTCCTTCTCCCCCTGCTTCTCCTCTTCAACTTGCTTTTCCTCCTCCTCCTCCTTTTCCTCCTCAACCTTCATTTCCTCAATCTCCTTTTTTTCTTCAACTTCTTTATAAATTACTTCAGTTTTATTCCCTTCACATTTCTCAACCTTTTTATTTTTTAATTTTTCTGCTTCATCTTTAATCGCTTCCCAAGCTTTTTTACAAAGCCCATAATTTTTATAATTTAAAGAATTTTGAAGAAAATTAATAAATTTAGATTCTTTTCTGGGTATATTTGTATATCCTTGTATTTTTCTAAGTAAACCTTTTAATTGTGGGTCGTTAACGAATTTAATGGCAGCTCTAACTTGATTGACCCAACTATCTTGTTTTACTTCTCCCTGAAAAATTAAATTTAAATAATGTCGAACATTAAATTTTAGATGCCTCTAGAACTGAAAATTGTAGTTTATGAGGGATAGTTGGGGATTTGTTTAGGCAACTCCCAATCAGCAGATATGGGCGAAAAGGGAAGGATGAGAGGAAAGGAAAGGGGGAGCCTAAAAAAGAACAAAAACTTTTCAAGGTAGGAAAAGAAAATTTTCAATGTATTTTTCAATCAATTTTGAAGGTATCTAGAATCAGGCACGTAGCCAGGATTTTTTTCGGTAGGGGGGGGGCAAGGTGGGAAATTTTCTGCGGCGAATTTTTAGCACCTCAGACGAAAATTTTGAGAATTTTAGAAGGCTATAAGCCAAAAAACTTAATTTTGAAGGCTATGAAGCTATATTTCTCCCTTTTTCAACACCGGGGGCCTGTTTAGAATGTGGATTGACCGTCTAAAAAATTCCCTTTAAATTTTAAAAATTTAAAAACAAAAAATAAACCTTATTAATTTTAGCAGTATAATTAGCTCCTCCATATTTTTCATCTTCAGAAATACATTTAATATGATGATCATAATTATTTATAGTAAATACAACTTGACAATCCATACAAGAAAAAGAGCCATTTTTACATTTTGAGGAATGTTTTTGGACTTGATTTTTCTTTAAAGATTCTCCACAATTGTCACAAATAAAGAAAACCATTTTTAACAAAATTTGAGAAATTTCAAGAAAAAAACTAAAAATTAAATTTATCAACCAAAATTTAAGAAAAACGGGTTGCGACGAATTGGGGAATTTTGTACAGTGGGACGAATTGGGGAGGGACGAATTGAAGAAAAAGTTAGAAAAACAGCCAGTTTGCCGCGACCGTTTCGGCGCTAAGACAGTTTGGCGTGAAACATTTTTTACGTAAATTTTGCGTAAATCATCCATTTTTCTTGTGATTTTTACACGTCGTGAACGTGTGTCACGCCATTTTCTACCTAATTATTATTTAATTTTTCAGCTTATTTGACTTTACAATTTTAAAGAAAAATGTTGCCGAGACATTCAACAATATTTAATAAACGAGGAGTTGCCAAATTTTTATTTCGAACATTGGCTACTGGACAAGGTTAGTTTCTCGGAATTTTTGAAAATCCATGGCCTGTTCCTGGGTTCCGTGTTGATTTATTGACCTGGACCGGATCCTGAGCCTGTAGTCCAGGAAAAACCCAGAAAGGTCAAAAAATGCCTGGGCCTGGACTCTGGGTACAGGAAAAACTCAGGCCTTGGTCCAGGCCCAGCTCGATCTCTAGCTCTTTTAATATTTTTTCTAAAGATTTTTTCTCTTTAAGAATCAGATTTGGTTGTTATCGGTTCTGGCCCAGGCGGATATGTTGCCGCGATAAAAGCTGCTCAATTGGGAATGAAGACAGTTTGTGTTGAAAAGAATGAAACTTTGGGGGGTACTTGTTTGAATGTTGGTTGTATTCCTTCCAAAGCATTACTCAATAATTCTCATTTTTATCATATGGCTAAACATGGGGATTTAAATTCTCGAGGTTTTTTGTTTTTTCAAATATTTTTAGGGCGGGGATTTTGTCCTTTTTTTAATTTTGAGCGCCTTTTCTGATTACTTTTGGGTATCCTTACAGTTGGATTTTTCTTGACAAACTTTTAGTTATCCTTATAATTTTATTTTTATTCAGGTGAACCGGAATTTTAAAACCTTCGGGATCAGGGCTTCGAAACCTTTTCGATTTTTGGAATCGTAATCCTTTTTTCTTCTCTTCTTTTCAATTTTAGCCGAAGATTCTTTTTTCTATAAATTCTGTCCTTTTCTTCAAATATATTTTTGATAAATTCTTTCAAAATTTAAGGAGTTGAGGTTACCACAACACTTAATTTGGATCAAATGATGAAAGCTAAACTCACATCTGTCAAAGCTCTAACAAGTGGAATTGCTTCCTTATTTAAAGCGAATAAAGTTGAACATATTAAAGGAATTGGAACTATAACAGGGGAAAATGAGGTTATTTTGAAATCAAAAAAATTTTTAATATAAAATGTTTAAGGTAACAGTAAAAAAGTCAGATGGATCTGTCGAGGTTGTCAAAACAAAAAGAATTTTAATTGCCAGTGGTTCTGAAGTTACGCCATTCCCAGGGATTGATATTGACGAGGAACAAGTCAACAATTTTAATTTTTTTGATTTCAATTATAAATTTTCAGATTGTTTCTTCTACAGGAGCCCTCTCACTCAAAAAAGTTCCCGAAAAGGTTTAAAAAAATTTTCGTAGCTTATTTTAAATTTTTTTTTAATTTTTAGATTGTTGTGATTGGAGCTGGGGTTATTGGACTTGAACTGGTATTTTACTTTTTTATTTTTCCTAGGAAAGCTTTTGCGGACAAAAACTTGCGGATTTTTCCTAGGAAAGCTTTTGCGGACAAAATTTGCGGATTTTCTACTAGGAAAATTTTTGCGGACAAAATTTTGCGGACTTTTTCCTAGGAATTTTAAACTGAAAATTCCTTCCCCAAAAATTATTGCTATATTTATAGGGAAGTGTATGGCAAAGATTGGGATCACAAGTAACAGCAGTAGAGTTTATGGATAGTGTCGGAGGTGTAGGAATTGATGGAGAAGTTTCAAAAAATTTTCAACGTTTTCTTAAAAAGCAAGGATTTAATTTTCTTTTGGGAACTAAAGTTGTTAGTGCTACAAAAGAAGGAAATGGGAAAATAAAAGTGAATGTGCAAGGAGTGAAGGATGGAAAGGAACAAACGGTTTGTTTATTTTAAAATTATACGCAAGGTCGAACAGTTTTTAGATACCCCAGGGGTTAGAAAATTTTATTTTATAATTGGGTTTTGCTTAGTCATTTGGTAAAAGACCGCGGCATTTGGTAAAAGAACATGGTGGAGTGTTTGTTATGGGTCCGGGAGTCGGCTCCCCAATAAGAGCCAAGATTCTCATAACCCCGTAGCTGGCGCCAAAAATTAAAATTGCTTAGAGCCGAGTCAAGGTTTGTAAAAGTTCGAAGAACGGACCAACAAAACGTCTAATATTGTTCCCCGCACAAGGCTCTCTCTATTTAAAAACGTATCTTAATTTGGGAGGTATCTTATACTGGGGGTGAGGTATTTAAGAGCAGATTTCGAGTGTATTTGCCTTTTTTAATTTATTTAAATTATTTACAGCTTGATTGTGACGTTTTGTTAGTTTGTATAGGCAGACGGCCTTTCACAACTTCTCTTGGATTAGAAAATGTAAAATTAAATTTGGACGATAAAGGACGTGTTCAAGTAAATGATAATTTCCAAACTGATGTCCCTTCAATTTATGCAATTGGTGATGTAATTAAAGGGCCGATGTTGGCACATAAAGCGGAGGTTTTTTGATAATTTTTTAAAAATTATTTTCAATTTTAAAAATATTTAAAGGATGAAGGAATTGTGGCGGTTGAGGGTATGGCTGGTGGACCTGTTCATATGAATTATGATGCAATCCCTTCTGTTGTTTATACACATCCTGAGGTTGCTTGGGTAGGAAAATCTGAAGAGCAGCTTAAACAAGAGGTTAAACTTAAACTAAAAGTCGGACCTCATTATAAGATGCACTAGTTACGCCAAAAAAAATTTTAATTTTGCCATTTAATTTTCTGTCATTTACATTGTTTGGTATTTTTACGTTTTGGCATTACGAGGATGTAGGATAGAATTGTAGGATACAGGCCCGTAGCCAGGGGGGGGGGTGAGGGGGGAATTCCCCCCCCCCCCCGAAATGGGAAAAAGGAAAAAATTTGGGGAAGGGCTGGGGCAAAAAAAGTGAATTTTTTGGCCTACGGCCTCTGAAATTTAAAAAATTTTCGCCTGCGGCGCTAAAAAAGGAAGAAATCTGGCTTCTTGAGGTCCAAAATTCAAAAAATTTTCGCCTGCGGCGCTGAAAATCAAATTTTTGGCGCCTGCGGCGCCGAAAAAGTGAATTTTTTTGGCCTACGGCCTTCTAAAATTCTCAAAATTTTCGCCTGCGGCGCTGAAAATAATAATTTTTGGCGCCTTCGGCGCCAAAAATTTGGCGCAGAAAAAATTTTTTCCTCTTGGCCCCCCCCCCCCCCCCGAAAAAAATCCTGGCTACGGGCCTGGTAGGATACACCTCATAAAATTTGATTTTTTCAATCCCACTGTGGTATCTTATAACGAGTTCTCAGATTATAATTTAAAATTTTCTTAAATTATGTAAATTAAAATTCAGGGAGTTTCTTACAAAATCGGTAAATTTCCCTTTATCGCCAATTCTCGTGCAAAGACAAATAATGATGTTGAAGGTTTTGTTAAAGTTTTGGGAGAGAAGGATACTGATCGACTTTTGGGTGTTCATATTATTGGGCCGGTTTGTTTTTTTCTTCTTTGAATAAAATTTTTAAATGAGATATTTTGTCCCAAACGAATATTAGTTTAATTTTTTAAATTATTTTTACAAATTAAAAGTATAGTAGGTCGTTATGAATTTTACTTTTTTTAAGAGTTAGAACAGAAGAAGATTTTAGACAGAATTTCGTGAATCATATTGTCCTGATTTTTTTTAATATAAATACGGCTAGGGAAAACTTGCAAAATTGGTGGTTTAAGTCATTTTCGTTTCCTTTTTCATGTTGATCTTTCAGCCATTTATTTTCCTCAAACTTTTTTTAAATTTTGTATGTTTTTCCCAGCTCTAGTGATCAAAAATACCCTTACTTATTCCTAGTCGTCTTATTTTTGGGAAAATTGGAATTTCGCTAATAAATTTTAAAGATTTTTTAAATTTTAGAATGCAGGTGAAATGATTGCTGAGGCTACTTTAGCTTTAGAATATGGAGCATCATGTGAAGATATTGCTAGAGTTTGTCATCCACATCCGGTTTGGATTTTTTTAATTTTATAAAATTAAAAAAAATTATTTTCTAGACCCTCTCCGAAGCATTCCGTGAAGCTAATTTGGCTGCTTATTGTGGCAAACCAATAAATAGTATTTGAAATTTTTTGTGAAAATATGGGAGGAAATTGGAATGACTTTAAAAAATAGTAGGATTTAATTTTTTTGTTTGTTCTTGGATTTTTATTTAAAAATTAATTAAATTTTTAGAAGAAAAAAACATTTTTTGGCTAAATTTTAAAAGTAAAAATAATTTGAGAAAAATTCACAGGGGCTAATAGTTCACACTTTTTTGGAAAGTTGTAATTTAATCTTCCTTTATTTTCTAATTGTTAGATTTTTGGGGGGATTTTGGGGGAAATTACTTTTACATTTTTTACTTTTCCTTGAAAAAAGTAAAACTTTAGTTAGCCTTATTTTATTAAGATAATTATAGTAATAAGTATTTATTTTAATTGTCAAAATAAGATTTTTTTGATAACGTTAAAAATATCGTCGATTATTTCCACCAAGAGCCTTTCACTAAAAGACACCATTTGTTTACATTAAATAACTGAAAATTATCAACAGTTCCGGGTAAAATAAATTTTTTCAGGTCCGAAAATCAAGTTTTAGATATCTCCCTCCTCTCGGACCGATCTGGTCGTATGATTTTTTCCGGATTAATCCGGTTCGAAAATCTGTAAATCTCGAAAAAACCTGGGTTTTGGGATTCGAACTCTGGAAGGATCCGGCGTGTCCAATCCTGTACCAAACAAAAAATTACTTTAAATTTATGGAGAGAGAAAAAATAAATAATTTTATTCCTTAGTAGTTAACCCCCCCTCCAAGTCGTTGGGGCAGCGGGGTCCAACCATTTAGCCCCTCCCACATTTTTAAATGGTCATTCAACAACTACGTCGTCAGAGTCCAAAGGTTTAAGGATTTCCCTTTAAGGGATAATTTGATCAAACCGGTTTGGTGCGAACTTTAAAAAAACACCTTACCATACCATTCCCCACATTTTTCACCAAATTTTATTCTAAAAATTTTCCCAAAGTTTCTAGGGTTTAATAAGTAGTTTTCAAACGGTTCAATCAAGATTTCCCATATTTTTTCTTTTTAAAACTGTTTCTTAAACTTTTTTTAAGTTTCTTTTCTTACAATATCTTATTTTATTATTTTTACCCTTTATACTTAAAAAAATACAATAATTATTAAAAAGTAGGCGGTTGAAATAGAAATAGTAAAAATCAGTCATGCAATAATTATGTTGCAAAATTATTGTTGAAAAGTGAAAATTGGTTAGAAATAGGTCATGCAAGAGAAAAACTGTAAAAATTTGTAAATTATTGTTGAAAAGTTAAAAATGGGTAAATTTTTAAAAAGTAGACGTTGAAGATAGAAATAACTTTAAAAAATATAAATAGGTAAAAAAATAGCTCATGCAAAAATTGATCAAAAAATCATTAAAAAGTAGGCGTAGAAAAGTGAAAATAGACTATAATTATAAAAACAAAATATTACTGTAATAGGAAAAATAAATAAATGAAAATAAATAAAGTTTTATAATTACCCCTCTCTATTAATTACCCACTAATAATTTAAAAAATTAAGAGTTTAAAAAAATAAATTCTACAAACAACATCGTCGCATCGTTCACAACTTGCTAATTATATACCTAAAAATTTTTCTTTACCAGATATTATGCTAATTTTCTTTCTCGAAATATTATTTAAAATTTAAAACATTTCCTATCTAGTTAAATTATGTTAAATTTATTTTTAAAACTCCTCTTCTTGACTGGAAATAAAAGAAAAAGATTGTTTTATATAGGGATTTCTCTTCTTTTGACAACATCCTAAGGAATAAAAACAAAGGTATGTATTATTACGAAACTAAACATTATTAAGAAACTTGCTCGCTCTTTCTTTATTCTCTTTAAATTCTTTTGCTTTTTTATGCAAAAATTCTTTTAGGCTTTTTCCCGCGACCGCGACTGGAAAATAATGAAAAGGAATTTCAGTGAAATTCCTATTTTACAACACATCAATTATTTTATGGAATATTTTCTTAAAAAAGGATTTCACATTTCTTTCTTCATTCTTTAAAATTCTAAGAAATTTAATACTTTTGAATTAGTCTCTAATTTTGAATTTATTTTATTATTAATGTCTCCTCCACCTTCGAAGAAAGCACGACATTTCTTCATTGATAATCTATTACAGAAAGGTGATGGTGATTATGTAAAACATTTGGGTGAAGAAACTAAAATCACCCGGAAATTTAACCTTACCAAACTGTCTACTAAATTCTTAATTTCGAATATCCCACCCGATCCTGAGGGTTTATTAAAAGGAATTTTCCAAGAATGCATCGACAAAACATTGGAGACGAGTCATGGTCATCAGCTTGATCCAGATCAACTTGGCTGTACAGTGAGCAGTCAATTGTTAGAATCAGATATTTGGATTCCAATACGTGAAATTACTCCCAACACGGTGGATTCAATTCTTAACCAATTTCTAAAAGTGGCCCAATCTAAAAAACAGGATCAGGGAATGTTATGGGGTGAACCATTTACCGTTTCTGTTACAGCTATTGACAAAAAACATCTGCCTACAACACGTTCTATTAATGGTAGTGGCAAAAATCCATCACCAATTCGACATAAAGTTAAAGACCACAACCTCATTAAAATTATTAATTCAGACAACTACTGCTTATTTCGATCATTGTCTGCCACCTTTATATTTTCAACATGCTCATGGCCGAAATGGAAGTTCTATGACTATATGCATAGCAGATTAGGAATGAAGAAACGTTTGGAACATGATACAACATTCTTGATGGAAAATGTAGGAGCTCCTCTTGATTTAACAACATATGATGCAAATGAATGGGTACCCAAGGTGGTTGATTATTGGAATTCAAGGAATGATGGCCTGTTTAAAGTTTTTATTTTTGGAGAATTGGGTGAGAAGCCTATTTTTAAATATGGGGATGAAAATCACACTACTCCAATTCTTCTTTATTACAACAATAATCATTTTGATGGAGTTAGAAAAGCAAGCGATTTATTTGGTAAACCTTATTGCCTATCATGTGAGATAATTTACAACCGCCCAAAAGATCATTCTATCACCTGCACATCAAAATGTCAAAATTGCTCCAGGATCGGACCCAATTACCCATGCCAGCCTTTAGATAACTACTTCAAACATTGCTCTGGTTGTTCTAAGAAATTAAATAATGAAGAGTGCTACACCCATCATCTCAAATCTAAATTTTGCCACAACTCTAAGAAATGTGAGAAATGTGGAGTGATATGGTATGTGAAGGACAACAACAAGAATGGGCGCAGTGGACATGTTTGTTCAGAACGTTACTGCACCACCTGCTTTAGCTTCCATGACCCAAAAAGAGGTTGTTACATTAAATCTCTAACTCAAAGGAAGCCAAAACCCTACCGAGTCATCGCTTTTGACTTTGAAACCATGCAACACAGGCAAGGCGAAAAAGGGAAATTACATGAAGTGAATTTTATATCTGCAAAAATCAACTGCCCCGAGTGTATTAGTAACGGAAACAACGATTGTACTATTTGCGGAGAAGAACGAACTATAACCTTCTCCCACCAACCATTTTCCAACACTCAAGTCGATCAACAAAATGTTACTAATGATCCTCTGACTGATTTTGTAACCTGGATCACTAATTTTTCTACTGATACAATAGCCTTCTCTCATTTTGGAGGAAGGTTTGATATGGTCCTAGTCTTCAAAGCATTGTATCTCAAAGGCCTAATCCCAGAAATGATAAAGAAAGGTAACAAAATGTATGAGATGAAGGTGAAGAACAATAAAAAATGCTGGGTCATCTTCAGAGACACATACAATCTAATGCCAATGCCTCTGGCATCTCTTGTACCAGCCTTTGCTCTTAAAACGGAAGACAAACCTTTCTTCCCTCACCTGGCCAACAACCCAAAGAATTATGGGAAAGAAATCTTTCCGACAAAAGAAGATTACCTTGCTAATGGGATGATGCCTGAAAAGAGGGCTCAGTTCGATAAATGGTTTGACCAACATAAAAATGAGCCCTTCAACTTAAATGAACAACTAGCAGCATATTGTATCAACGATGTGGAGATCCTCATGGCTGCACTCATTGCCTTCAGAACGGAATTTTTGGAAGTCTCCAATGGCTTGGATGTTCTTCGTGAAGCTATGACAATTGCTTCTGCCTGCATGAAGCACTTCCGCATGAATCACCTCAAAGCCAACCATTTAGGAATTGTTCCTGAAAAAGGTTACGACAACGTCGACAACCAAAGTAAAATTGCTCTCAAGTTTCTGAAATGGTATGGCGAGAAGAATAACGTTACAATTAGGACAGCACACTCAAAGAATGGGGAGAAGAAAATTGGAAATTATAAATTGGATGGATGGGTTGAGGAAAAGAAATTGGCTATTGAAGTCAATGGTTGCTGCTGGCATGGATGTATCAAATGCTATCCTGACGACGATCTTAAGCTTCCAACAGGTCTTACAGCTGGAAAACAGCGGGAGAAGGACCAAAAACGTCTAAAATTTATTAGGAATTTGGGGGTCAAAGTGGCAGTATATTGGGAGTGTCAAATCATTGATATGGTAGCAAAAGATTATGAAATGAGGAAGATGTTTAAAAAATATCTGGATGATGGACCAATAAATATTAGAGAGGCCTTCTATGGGGGAAGAACTGGTCCCTTGAAGTTATACCACAAGGCTGAGGATGGACAAAAAATTTCTTACTACGATGTCACCTCCCTTTACCCATTTATCAACGTCTCAACTCGATATCCTGTTGGGCATCCAGAAGTCCACGTCATCAATATGGATGTCAATTGGACCAAACCTGAAGACAACACTTACAACACTGCTCTTTTAAAATTATTCGTCATACCACCGAGAAGTATTGACGTTCCTGTTTTACCAATGAAAATTGGGGAAGACGACGATGAACGATTACTATTTCCCCTGTGTTCTACTTGTGCAAAAGAGTACCCTAAAGGTGATGTCAACGAAAACTACAGCTGCCCCCACACTAATAAACAGCGAGGGTGGGTCAGCACATGTACGTCTATTGAGATAAACGAAGCCCTCAAGGAGGGGTATGTGGTGACCAAACTATTTAGAGTATTGGAATTTAAAGACTACGACGACAAACTGTTCAGACCCTACATTAGTGAATTTATGACCCAAAAAATTCACTCTTCTGGTTTTGACAACACCATCAAGGGTGACATAGAAAAGGAAGATAAGTTTATGAAAGAGTGCCTGGAAATGTTTGGGATTAACATCGAGAGGGAGAAGATGGTGGTCAATAAGGGTAAACGGACACAAGCGAAATTGTGTCTAAACAATTTGTGGGGGCGATTTTCACTTCGTAACTTTGGACTCTCCCAGTGCAAAATTACTGACGACCCAAGTGAATACGTAAAAATGAGTAACGACCCAGCAATAACAGTTAATCATTGTCATGAATTGACTGAAGATGGGACTGTGCTTATCGACTACATTAAGAAAAAAGATTGGGTGGAGGAGCATGACTCATCAAACGTCATAATCTCGCTCTGGACCACATCAGCAGCGAGAATTCACCTTCTACACGCAATGCAGAAAGTTGTAAGGACTCCGGGGTGTGAGTTACTATACACCGACACCGATTCTTTAATCTTCATCCACCCAGACAACAATTGTCCACTTGAATTAGGGCCTCATCTGGGTCAGTTTACTGATGAGTACCCAGACTTTGATATTTTGGAGTACTGCTCTGGAGGAGCAAAGCAGTATGGTTTGAAACTTCAAAAGAAGTCTACTCCCAATGCTGAGCCGGACTATGTTCTCAAAGTCCGCGGAATGACACTCAACTGGGATGTCATCAACAATCAAGGTCTCTGCTACGAAAATTTCAAGAAGCAAGTTTTTGATTTTACAAAAATTGATAATATTCCAATTTTAATTAAATACCCAAATTTTCTTAAACCATCTATTAAAGATGGATCAATTATCACTCAACCCCTTACTAAAATTTATAAACCTTATGTCGGTAAGGGCATTGTCCGCCCTTCCGATTTTGTTGTACTAAATTTTGGCTATATTAATAATCGCCATCCTAGAATTTTATTGTAATTATAGGGGTTGGAAAGTAGCCAGAGGTACGGGCACCCAAACTCTATACCAACTATCGAATGTTGTGAGGTAATCCTCACATTGAAAATCGGTGGTTGCGGACTTGAGTAAAAATTCTCACTTCCCTTGTTGAGTTCGGGCATGCCTGTCAAATGGCGAAGCCATACTCCTATCTATTACAATATTTCTAACTTTTTTTTCAATAAAATTTTTCTTATTGTTATTTTATAAATAAGTTACACAATATTATTGTATTAATTTTATTCGTGATAAAATTTTAAAGATACAATTTTGCAAAAATTATTCAATAATAGTCACATGTTTTAGGGCTGAAATTGCATAATTAAGAAAACAAAGATACAATTTAAAAATAATAAAATAATTAAGAGAAAGAAGACATAGTTTTTAGGGGTAATTTTACATAATTAGTGAGACAAAGTAGATGATTTCAGATTTAGAGTAAAGGAGTTGCACTTTTTAGGGGTAAACTTACAAAATTAAGGAAAAGAAGATAAAATTTGTCAATTTCTTTATTTTTCAGTGTACACGCGTATGCAAAGGATGTGCGTGTGTTTTTGGCGCGTGTGTTGAGGGTGCGCGTAAATTTACCATTCATCTAGACAAAAAATCTCCCAAAAAGATGAAATTTTGTCAATTTTCTTAAATTCTTCGTATGCACGTGCGAGGGCGTGCATGTGTAGAGAGCGTGGTGCGCCTGAGTGGCTTGTGGGTGTGTTAAGGATGTTGTTGACAAGAAGTTATTACTTATTGTGATAGACTTAATAACATAGAAAATTGAAGCCTAGCAACAATACTATTACTAATTCCTTCTAAGAGCCTGACTAATGTCTTACAGATAAATTGAAACACGAGAATAATCATTAATTTTAATATTTGTTAGATATATTATTAAACATTGTTAAAAGATGTTCTTTTAGGAAGACCCTTCACATTTACTCCAGTGACTGTCACAGTAAAAGGTTCACCCCTCAGTAAATATGCTTTTCCTATAATTCCATCTAGAATGTCGTCCAAAGTATTATTATTAGACATTTCACATATTGGACTACATACATCATCATAAAATAGATCACAACTCACAATACAACCTAAAGTATCAGGCTCAATTTTGTTTTTAATGCCTTCTCCAATTGTTTTTTCTATACAATTCTGGATAATTATTCTCATGATGTTTTTGATGTCAGAAAAGTCACTAATTATCACATACTCAAATATTCCTTTAGTTAGATGGAATTTTGTAGTAGTTTTAAAGTGTTCATGTATTTTAATAATTTTCTGATTTTCAATTAGTTTAGCTAAGCTCATTCTAAAAATACAACTTAGTGAGAATGAATATATTTTACTTAAAAATTTTTGTTATAATGAAACTTTCTTCACACAGATGTTGCACGAGGTGTAAAGTAGTACCAGAGATGTGAAGTAGTACCATCAGACCTTAGATAAACTAGTTAAATTGGAATTTGTTATACAAACGTACTTTGTGGTGAGTGCACGGACCAATGTTGCATTATTCTCTTTGAATAAGAAATGGCTGAACCAAAAATTGACTGAATCAAAATTCTCTTTTAAATAGTTCACTTTTCTTATTTTCTTCTTCTAGGCTTTTAGACATGTGATGAAAATTTAAGTACAATTTGAAAAAATTCGTAAATATGAGTTTCAAAATTTAGAGGTAAACATACAGGATTAGTAATTCAAAGGTACAATTCACAAATATTAAAAAATTATTAGAAGGAAGGCATAGTTTTTAAGGTAAAATTATATAGTTAAAAAATAAGATGAAATTTGTTAATTTTCATAATTTTCAGTAGTTTTCTCTAACTTCAGTAGTTTTCTCTAACTGACCATGTTTTCTCTAACTGGCTATTCGGGCAGTTCGACTAAAATATTACAGTGCTGCTACGATGCGTGATATTTCAGACTGTGCGAATAAGCATTGTGTTGTATAAATTTCATCCATTCCAGTGAATATATAGGCTAAGCAAAGAATTTGCAAGGATAATGATAATATCAGAAAAATTAAAAACAATTAAGGTAATCCGCGACAACTCTAAGGAAATTTAAAGAAATTTTCAATAAGCTTAAAATTAAATTTATTCAAATAAACAAGCATTACCCGTACAAAAAATTATTTTGAAAAATATCTTATGAGGAGTAAACAAACTATGCTTTAAGTACGATACCTGCCACAATGACAAATAGATTTGCTTGTCAATCTTGTTTAGTTAAAATTGTTCATCACACCTTGTTTCTTTAAGTTATTACCGAGACAGTTCCTTTAATTAATTACAGGCTGACTGAATACACTTTATGATACTCCAATTGATTATTCAGACCGAATGCACAAGCGGCTTTAAATTATTACCTGAGTCTTATCTATGCGACGACCCACACTATTCCTTGTGAGTAGCCAGCCTGCCACTATGATTATGTTTCATAATATTTCGAAAAAATATTCAATTATAAAAAAAACGAGGAAAATGTTCAACACATTCTTAAATTGTTTTAAACATTTTCCTCGTTTTTTTTATAATTGAATATTTTTTCGAAATATTATGAAACATAATCATAGTGGCAGGCTGGCTACTCACAAGGAATAGTGTGGGTCGTCGCATAGATAAGACTCAGGTAATAATTTAAAGCCGCTTGTGCATTCGGTCTGAATAATCAATTGGAGTATCATAAAGTGTATTCAGTCAGCCTGTAATTAATTAAAGGAACTGTCTCGGTAATAACTTAAAGAAACAAGGTGTGATGAACAATTTTAACTAAACAAGATTGACAAGCAAATCTATTTGTCATTGTGGCAGGTATCGTACTTAAAGCATAGTTTGTTTACTCCTCATAAGATATTTTTCAAAATAATTTTTTGTACGGGTAATGCTTGTTTATTTGAATAAATTTAATTTTAAGCTTATTGAAAATTTCTTTAAATTTCCTTAGAGTTGTCGCGGATTACCTTAATTGTTTTTAATTTTTCTGATATTATCATTATCCTTGCAAATTCTTTGCTTAGCCTATATATTCACTGGAATGGATGAAATTTATACAACACAATGCTTATTCGCACAGTCTGAAATATCACGCATCGTAGCAGCACTGTAATATTTTAGTCGAACTGCCCGAATAGCCAGTTAGAGAAAACATGGTCAGTTAGAGAAAACTACTGAAGTTAGAGAAAACTACTGAAAATTATGAAAATTAACAAATTTCATCTTATTTTTTAACTATATAATTTTACCTTAAAAACTATGCCTTCCTTCTAATAATTTTTTAATATTTGTGAATTGTACCTTTGAATTACTAATCCTGTATGTTTACCTCTAAATTTTGAAACTCATATTTACGAATTTTTTCAAATTGTACTTAAATTTTCATCACATGTCTAAAAGCCTAGAAGAAGAAAATAAGAAAAGTGAACTATTTAAAAGAGAATTTTGATTCAGTCAATTTTTGGTTCAGCCATTTCTTATTCAAAGAGAATAATGCAACATTGGTCCGTGCACTCACCACAAAGTACGTTTGTATAACAAATTCCAATTTAACTAGTTTATCTAAGGTCTGATGGTACTACTTCACATCTCTGGTACTACTTTACACCTCGTGCAACATCTGTGTGAAGAAAGTTTCATTATAACAAAAATTTTTAAGTAAAATATATTCATTCTCACTAAGTTGTATTTTTAGAATGAGCTTAGCTAAACTAATTGAAAATCAGAAAATTATTAAAATACATGAACACTTTAAAACTACTACAAAATTCCATCTAACTAAAGGAATATTTGAGTATGTGATAATTAGTGACTTTTCTGACATCAAAAACATCATGAGAATAATTATCCAGAATTGTATAGAAAAAACAATTGGAGAAGGCATTAAAAACAAAATTGAGCCTGATACTTTAGGTTGTATTGTGAGTTGTGATCTATTTTATGATGATGTATGTAGTCCAATATGTGAAATGTCTAATAATAATACTTTGGACGACATTCTAGATGGAATTATAGGAAAAGCATATTTACTGAGGGGTGAACCTTTTACTGTGACAGTCACTGGAGTAAATGTGAAGGGTCTTCCTAAAAGAACATCTTTTAACAATGTTTAATAATATATCTAACAAATATTAAAATTAATGATTATTCTCGTGTTTCAATTTATCTGTAAGACATTAGTCAGGCTCTTAGAAGGAATTAGTAATAGTATTGTTGCTAGGCTTCAATTTTCTATGTTATTAAGTCTATCACAATAAGTAATAACTTCTTGTCAACAACATCCTTAACACACCCACAAGCCACTCAGGCGCACCACGCTCTCTACACATGCACGCCCTCGCACGTGCATACGAAGAATTTAAGAAAATTGACAAAATTTCATCTTTTTGGGAGATTTTTTGTCTAGATGAATGGTAAATTTACGCGCACCCTCAACACACGCGCCAAAAACACACGCACATCCTTTGCATACGCGTGTACACTGAAAAATAAAGAAATTGACAAATTTTATCTTCTTTTCCTTAATTTTGTAAGTTTACCCCTAAAAAGTGCAACTCCTTTACTCTAAATCTGAAATCATCTACTTTGTCTCACTAATTATGTAAAATTACCCCTAAAAACTATGTCTTCTTTCTCTTAATTATTTTATTATTTTTAAATTGTATCTTTGTTTTCTTAATTATGCAATTTCAGCCCTAAAACATGTGACTATTATTGAATAATTTTTGCAAAATTGTATCTTTAAAATTTTATCACGAATAAAATTAATACAATAATATTGTGTAACTTATTTATAAAATAACAATAAGAAAAATTTTATTGAAAAAAAAGTTAGAAATATTGTAATAGATAGGAGTATGGCTTCGCCATTTGACAGGCATGCCCGAACTCAACAAGGGAAGTGAGAATTTTTACTCAAGTCCGCAACCACCGATTTTCAATGTGAGGATTACCTCACAACATTCGATAGTTGGTATAGAGTTTGGGTGCCCGTACCTCTGGCTACTTTCCAACCCCTATAATTATAATAAAATTCTAGGATGGCGATTATTAATATAGCCAAAATTTAGTACAACAAAATCGGAAGGGCGGACAATGCCCTTACCGACATAAGGTTTATAAATTTTAGTAAGGGGTTGAGTGATAATTGATCCATCTTTAATAGATGGTTTAAGAAAATTTGGGTATTTAATTAAAATTGGAATATTATCAATTTTTGTAAAATCAAAAACTTGCTTCTTGAAATTTTCGTAGCAGAGACCTTGATTGTTGATGACATCCCAGTTGAGTGTCATTCCGCGGACTTTGAGAACATAGTCCGGCTCAGCATTGGGAGTAGACTTCTTTTGAAGTTTCAAACCATACTGCTTTGCTCCTCCAGAGCAGTACTCCAAAATATCAAAGTCTGGGTACTCATCAGTAAACTGACCCAGATGAGGCCCTAATTCAAGTGGACAATTGTTGTCTGGGTGGATGAAGATTAAAGAATCGGTGTCGGTGTATAGTAACTCACACCCCGGAGTCCTTACAACTTTCTGCATTGCGTGTAGAAGGTGAATTCTCGCTGCTGATGTGGTCCAGAGCGAGATTATGACGTTTGATGAGTCATGCTCCTCCACCCAATCTTTTTTCTTAATGTAGTCGATAAGCACAGTCCCATCTTCAGTCAATTCATGACAATGATTAACTGTTATTGCTGGGTCGTTACTCATTTTTACGTATTCACTTGGGTCGTCAGTAATTTTGCACTGGGAGAGTCCAAAGTTACGAAGTGAAAATCGCCCCCACAAATTGTTTAGACACAATTTCGCTTGTGTCCGTTTACCCTTATTGACCACCATCTTCTCCCTCTCGATGTTAATCCCAAACATTTCCAGGCACTCTTTCATAAACTTATCTTCCTTTTCTATGTCACCCTTGATGGTGTTGTCAAAACCAGAAGAGTGAATTTTTTGGGTCATAAATTCACTAATGTAGGGTCTGAACAGTTTGTCGTCGTAGTCTTTAAATTCCAATACTCTAAATAGTTTGGTCACCACATACCCCTCCTTGAGGGCTTCGTTTATCTCAATAGACGTACATGTGCTGACCCACCCTCGCTGTTTATTAGTGTGGGGGCAGCTGTAGTTTTCGTTGACATCACCTTTAGGGTACTCTTTTGCACAAGTAGAACACAGGGGAAATAGTAATCGTTCATCGTCGTCTTCCCCAATTTTCATTGGTAAAACAGGAACGTCAATACTTCTCGGTGGTATGACGAATAATTTTAAAAGAGCAGTGTTGTAAGTGTTGTCTTCAGGTTTGGTCCAATTGACATCCATATTGATGACGTGGACTTCTGGATGCCCAACAGGATAT